CGATATGCAAGGGCGATGCGAAAACTGTATCCGGTTGAAGAAAGAATGCCATTTTTTCCCAGTGGATCAACAACCTCTTATGGAAACAAAACTATCTCGCGCAGGGTGCAAAACTGGTGCAATATCGACGGAAACATCGATAACTTCGTCCCCACCGTCGCTGGGAAGCGGTGGAATAGTGGATCAAAAGGATTCATACTTTCAATACGCACCATTGCCATTAATTTCGGGCCAAGATATCTCCCAGTTTGAACCAAACCCTTTCGTTGAGACCCTCATGTCGAAATTCAGCCCAGGTTCGTCCATACAAATTGAAGACCTTTGGCAAACCACATGTAACTAACCTTCAATAGATCCTCTAAGCGCAACTGATTTAAGCATTGTTCCGTCAGCAAATCTACCCGTATCGTGGGAAGGCGCTTCGTATTTCGATCACCAGGTGCTCGGAGTAGCAACGAAGTCGCAAATGGCGGCGACCCCAGGGAACCCTGCTTGGAGCCAAGCCTCACCAGGGGCACCTCTTTCTACCGCTTCATCGATTCCCGGGACTCCAATAACTCCCGGAATTCTTCCTTCGACCGGTGACCCAACGGTTTTTGGTATGCAGGATAGTTCAGTTTGGGGCGTAGCCCCGTCAAGATCAATGGATCTTGCCTCCAGGAATCTCACGCAATACCAAGGCCAGTATCAGCAGTCTCTGCTTCCAGAATTTAAACGACGAATGACCGCTCCAGGGGATGGGTATGCCCATCCAATTAACAGTTCAATGCCAGAACTACCATCGTCAGCGATGCCGGTTTCCTACACGGAAACACAATCTCCCGAAGGATATTCCACTTGGGAAACATTTCAAGGCGAGCCGACAGTGCCTCCTACCACCAACCGGCCAACAACAGAGACGACGCCTGACGGGTTAGGCCAATGGTATGCGGGCTCACCCCAGCAATAAGCACGGTTGAAACAAGAGGAACCGGACGCTCTTGGAGGACCACCACACACCATCAAATCAACCCCGCTTGACCGAAATACAATCTGGACCACTGTGAAGGAATTTTGTTCTCGGATTTGAGAAGACGGGGAGTTTCGTCTCACTGCTATACGCCTGTGTCCATTGAGGTCCTTGATGCCTTGAGTATATATGAATAGGGAGGGGAGTGTCACAATGTCTTTCCTCTGGCGCTTGATATCTACATGTATAAGTTACGATATATCTGGTCCACCACACTCGCTTTGTTTATATTTTCTATATCTGGTTTTGGAATTGTTCATGTTAGCTGGCGCAGGAAAGGAAAATATCAAACTGAAAAGAAGGATGGGAAAGGAAACAACATATATACAGACTGGGTCATGATGGATGAATCTGTCTTCTTCAATCCTTACTTCGGTGATCTTTGTCCCGTGATATTATCGGCTGATTTCTTAAGATATTCTACACAATTGGGTTTCACCTCTTCTTCAGGACTTTGCCATTAGCTTCTTCTCTTTTATATTCTTTCACCAGCCGAGCTATTACGTTCGTGCACACTCCCATCACTTTGGGGGAAATTCAACTTTGAGAAAGAAAATTCTTTTGGTGCATTTACATACTTTGAGATTCCTTGGCCTTTTCTTTTTATCTTTCACGTTACTTTCGGTTTGCATGCAGGTCCTTGCATATGTTGCTCTTCTCTCGAACCCCGTACTTGAGTTTTTGAAGGTGATACTCATCGCGTGGCTCATCGCTAGTCTATTCCTCCCTTCTAACTGCGGTCCTGTGTATCTTTGCACCACTATGGAGTAAGTAGATGCGAAGATGCCATCTCTGCTCTCCAGTGATTGCGCACCTTCTACCAGCTATTCTCCCTTTCAGCCAAGTAAATGACCAAAAGTTTTATCTTTGATGTACTTCACTTTCTCGTTGCCATTTTTCGCAAATGTTCCTCGCTAACGTTAGTGATAACTTGCTTTTATTCGCCGTCTTGACATCTTCCTATTTTTCGTGGTACCATATCCACCAATTGGATTGTGTTTTCTCGAGTGTACTACTTTCGTTCCGCCAATGCTCTACATGCTTTCGCTTTGATTTCAATAACGTCACCTCCCAAACATCAAATAAAGTCAGTTTCTAGCGGTCACCATGCGTCTTCTTTTTACTGCAAGGTACATTGATTTTCATGGTACAAGTGTTTGGTTTGTATTAGGGGGCGAAAAGGCCTCCTTCGTACCTTCGTTTCTTCCCCCTTCAGCATTTTAGGACTTATTTTCTTTCCATATCATTTTCCGTTGGGTCATTCTTTGCTTACAGACGGACTGACATCTACCTCAATAGTGCTGTATATGGTTTTAACTAGATGAACCCCTTTTTGATATATATATCTGGAGAACAGATAGGCAGGAGACATAATCATCAACTGAGAATCACGAAAAGGGATAGTTACTGAAAGGTGTATAAAGATAGCTGAAAAGTACACATTATCTTTCTTAACAATTTCAAATAAGATACAAAAATTCTATAGATGATCGGCTCAATATATGCCTTATTTGGATTAAAAATATATTATGTGGTGTACTTTTATCACCATCCATTAGATGATACAGATGCACCAGATCCTCTGCACAACATAAACCAGTTCTAAATTAACATCAGAATCAAAGTAAATCTAGCCAATGCATATATCATCTTTCAAGTATCGCATTTAAACGATGTAGAATCATCTATTCTATTCAACTTGAGGCTAGCACAGCCAATTTGTCTCCTAAGAAAACACGATGCGACAAAGCTTCGTGTAAATAAGATTTCGAGATTTAAGGTTGTGGGTCCGTTGTGTGCCACACGAAAGTTCCCGTGCGGAATTTAGTTTAGCTACACGGACCAACCCCAACCCCCACCCAGGCTACAAACCCTTACACATTGATCTTATATCGGTCAAACGGAAAACCCAGATCTCGATGCCAGTCTTTGCCATTTCGCAAGTCTTCTTTTAAAGATAAATTTCTAACCCATCCTTGATCGCAATCAAGTTTTGATTGAAAAATTACTCGTAGCTGGTTGGATTGCGAGTTAACTTACCCGTAACCTCCGCCGTGGTTTCAGCGCCATCTAGGAAAATCCCCGTCCCCTGCTCCGTTCGATGCACTAGTTAGAGGGCGGACACGCAGGGATGAGCTGATGTTCATCTCCCAGATGGGCGAGGCATCCTTCCTGATACCGGATGTGGGATTTAACTCGAAACGCTCGCTGTCTCATATATTGCGTTTTTATAGTTAGTTTGGCGGCTTCAAGCTTGCTAATGGCTCAACCGCGGTCACAGAATGTAAAAAGGGAAAATGGTTTGAAGAACCCTAAGCAAGGCCAAACTTCTTATCTCCCACGGATACTGCCACCTATTTGCATCCGGGTAACAGACACTGTGAAAAACTTGGGCCGAAGGATTCCATATTTACAGCCTTTCTACCTCTCTACGCTTTCATATACACAAGAAATGGCAGTTGGCTTTGGCAAAACAGCACTGCATAGGAATAGCATTAACGAAATTATATTGCAATATATATATATATATATATATATATATTTGAAACTCCCGCAAGGAGGAAACTGAGAATTTAAGTATGAAAGGTAATGAAGATATAGATATGAGTAAAATGTGCCAAAAAAAAATATGTAAAAAGGAGACAAACAAGAAATAGAAAGTGAGAAGATAAGTGGCGACGAGTAGAACTAACATGTAAGACATATATATATTTCGTATAAATATTCAAGTGGTGAAAAAACATGAGAACATGTTGACACCTAAAAGAATAGGAGCGCTGGAGGGAGAAAACCTCCACCAGGACATTATTTACGAAAAGGGCAACTAAAATAAACAATACAACGAGACAGATAGATAAATAGAGATGCGCACTTCTGTCCGCTGCCCAACCAAAATGAAATGCAAACAGCAACAATTAAAAACCAAAAAGAAGATCCGAAGACAGAAAAGCGGAGGCGAGATGTGGGGTGAGGACGGGAAAAAACATTAGAAGCAGGACCTAGCTCTTTCGCAAACTAACAGCATGCAAAACAGAAATGGCAACAAACACATAGTTGGTTGGGCAAGTCGAAAACAGACGCGATTGTATCAATCAAATCAAATCACATTAAGCCAACCTCGACGAAATAAGACTTGAAAAGAAGGACAGTAGGAAAAACACACTTAATGCCAAAAGAAGACAGTAATTCAAAATCGCTAACGTGAAATCAACAGAAAAGTTAAAAAGTTGCGATGCGCGGTGAAATGCCAGGCGAGGATAGGCGGGAGAAAGGTGATGGATGACGCATTGAGGCAAAATTAGTGCAGCAGTGCGCTAAGTCGGTAATTAGGCTTCAAAGGTTCGTCGAGGGGTGTTGGTTGGGATAAATCGAAGAAGTGGATCGAGAATACCCTTCGCCGAAATTCCGGGATAGAATGGAAAGGAGGCATCGAGTAATCAGGTATTTTGCCAGGCAAGAGCCTAACGAGGGAAAGCAATTCGTTCCACCAGCAGGAGGAGCCATTAAATGACCCGGAATCGTTCTATCCCAGAAAAAAGGAGTGGGAAGTTAGATCGTTGGAGCGGTTGCTGAACAGAGACCCCCCATCTGGGCAAACCACCATCGATAGAAACAACAAGAGGATTTCTGGAAGGAAAATTAATCGCCACCTGCATATAATTTAAACTCTCCCCACCCCACCCTCAAAAAATAAAAATAAAAATAAAAATAAAAATAAAAATAAAAATAAAAATAATAAATGTCTATGTATGATTACGAATAAATTTTCGCGCATCAAAAAAGCCCGGAGAAAGGATAAATACTCCCGAGAAGAGAAACTAACTGAAAGAAGAGGGACCAGCTCCAAACAAACGCCCTTTCGTCTAAAGGAATATCGTTCGCATGATCGAATGACTGCATCAGGTTGGGGAGGCAATTGTTTCTGAAACTAAGTATGACAAATCAGGGGTCGAGTTGATGATGAATAACCTCAATTCGAATTCAATTCTCGTCACAAACTCATGGTTAGCCACTCCCATTCTTGGCTGCCTCCTTGTCTGGCCCCTGCGGCAAGACTATGGTGGGCGGGATTCTCAGCAGCCGGTGGGAGGGTGGTAACTGGCGTGAATGGCTTCGATCTATTCAGCGGCGTAGGTGGTTTATTGCCGTCATTTACTACATCGCGCATTTCGGCTTCCTGGGAACCCTGGGGTCCAGAAGGCGCTTTCTCGAAGCGGCGAGTGCGCTTCGTCATGACTTGAACAGGGGCTCGTACCTGAGCCAGGCTACCAGCTAGGGTAGTTAGGGCAGGCTTTGGTGGAGCAGCGGCGATGGGCACAACGCCACTTTTTGTAAAGCCTGAAAAAACGTTGGACGTATTTCCTGGCGTTGAGGCACTACTTAATCCCGATGCAGAAGACAGAGGATCTGAAGCACCTTGAACTTTACTGGACATCGACGTTATTGAAGTTGATTGCTGGATGAAGTTCTTTCGTGACACTTTCTTGGCGGAACGGCCTGCAGAAACTCCAATCGGTAAGTTGTTACAACTTCCTCTGTTGCGCTTTTTAATAACGTCAGTCTTCAGTGACAGTGGGCGGACCACTCCATGTAACTTTAAGAACAGCCCGCATGCATTACAAAGAGGTTGACCTTCCGGGTTTCTGCGCCATAAGGGAGTGGTTTGTGTGAAACAGTTTGTGCAAGTGGTGGGTGCACCAGATTGTTCGGTTTGTTTTGCACCTCCAGGGGATGAAGGCCTCGACGGAGACGCACTGCTGAATCCTGATCTTGGAGGAGAATTTGGTGTTGTATGTGGCTGATTATTCATGCTCTGATGGAGAAGTTGAGTCGTGTTGGGTGTTGAAATTGTTCGCGGAATCTTTTGCCTTCTTGGATCTTGGTCACGATTACGTATTTCACTAACCGATGCCGCAGAACCATGAGTACGATCCAAGCTTCCACGATCCCAGCCCCCGCTGACACCAGCCATCTCTGCTCCACCAATTGTGATATGTCTTCTATGATGACCCTGGAAATTGTTTGCCACAGAATTAAAATATTCAGGGAAATGCGATTCCCATTGTACGGCGGGATTATTGAGGTCAATAGACGAGTCGTCGATCGGATTATAATCCATCTGCATTGTCATGGATCTGTCGGGAAACGGGTTGCCATCTTCTTCTTCATTATCGGAATCCGCACCGAATGAAAACATATGCTGCTCGTTGTTAGGCAAGTTCAAAGGACGAGACAATGGACCAGAGGAGAAGTGTGTCGGGCCCACGCGCTGCTGAGGGATCGAAAAACCGGGGGACGGAATACTCCCTCGCCCAATGCCGCTGATTGCATTGAATGCGGTTTCATTGGCGGCACGATAGAAGTATCGAGATTGGGAAGACCCAGCGATATTTGAGGGCCCACAAAAATTCCCCGTTGATTGATGTGTCCTCTGATCAACTGTACTATGCTCAAAACACATCATTTGATCAGTATCGAAGCCCGCTTGGGGGGTTGAAGCAACAGATTGATATCCGGAAGGTGGCGGTGAATAAAATTCGGCTGAGTTGAGAGAAGATCCCATTGGTGTGTGAGAATAGACACTCTGGAACGGCCCACCAGTCACAAGAGGAGATTCAGAGGGCGAGAAGGGGTAACTCTGCTGAAAAGGGCCTGCGGAGGTAAGAATCGGGTCGTCGCCGAGATGGAACGTTTCGAGGTTGGAAGGAACAGTTGAGGAAGTGTGATTGCTTAGTGGATAGGCGGAGTGAGGGTGATCAAGGCTGTAATCAGCCATACCGGTATCAAAATCGGATTCGTTGGGAATTGTCAGGTTTACGACAGGAGGCACCTGGGGAGACGATTCGGCTGGCCGTTTTCGTGTCTGATAAACCAATGTCAACAGAAAATATACATGAAAAGCTACCACGATAGCGTCTTGGAAAAAACATAAAGAAAAACCTACGTTTCTTTCGTCAACACTAGTCTTGCGGACTCGTCTTTGGACGTAGCCAAATTCATCGTTTTGTCGATAATGCTGAGGTGGATGTGGAAACGAAGCAGGCATAAAGTTGCCTGGGGGATGGAGGTGCTGATCGTTGCGTGATTTTATTGGGATAGCCGATGCCTCTGCATGGCTTGAGCTAGCCGCCTCAGCGGGCGGGGACGTTGACAAGCCTGAAGGCGAATACATGGACGATGGAACAATAAAATCGTCAAGATTCATTGGATCTGATTCAGCAGCCACACCATAATCATCGACCCACTGTCGAAGTCTAGCGATCCCACTAGGGCCATCGGCAGCAGCCGCAGCAGGCGTTGACATTTGACAATCGTTTCTATTTTTATTCATTTCAGTCAGTGACAGTACCATTTAATAACTGGGATGGAATGAGATATAATAGGTCCAAAGCAACCACCATCAATAGAACTAGAGAAACTTCGATAAAGAAAATGGTTCAACACATACTCCGGGGCTTTCGAATTGTTCGAAGCTCCAGGCTGCTTGGACATTTTGTTTTGTTGCTGCTCTCTCTTCTTTCTCAGGCTCATGGCCATCATGCGCCAAGTCAGGTTCTCCATGCGCTCCTGGTTAGGCAGCTGGGACTTGGTCCGGCTGTATAGCTTCCATATTTGGGTTGCCAAGGGGTCCTGCTTCTGCATTTCATCGGTATTGTCAAGCCCGGTGTGAGAGGCACCATCTCTCCAGTCGGGGAAGACTGATTCGCGCAGTAGATTCCCGCCAACAATGCGGTCGTGGAGTGACGGCTCCAGGGTGGTGTCTTTGGAGAATGAAGCTTCCCACAAATTAGTGAGCTGAGGGGTGTTGCGGGGGTGATACAATTGGCTAGGGCTAAAATCGCCAGCGCCAAACAACGGAGGGGAGGATTGGTCGAAGCTGAGTTTGCCTTGAAGGTGGGCAGGGGTTTTTGCTAACGTCTCGAGAGTGGAGAGAGATGTCGATGGAGAGGCTGTAGTCAATGAAGAAACAGAGGGTGATGAAGTGATATTGGGTCGAAGGTCGAGGCAAGATGCTGCTGAAGCCCCAGTAGTAACAGCGTTAGATGTTGGAACTGAGGTGACGTTGGGAGTGTTGCTGGTTGTGGTAGAGGGATTATTGGGTCTGGACAAGTAAGCAGCTAGATAGGCGGCTGCGTGCCCCCCACGCTTTCGGTATGGATTATTCGTTGACGACGTCGACATGGGCGAAATCCGTGCTTCCATGCAACGGTTTCGCGAGCGTGCCGTCGGTGAGGTCCGATAGGTACATGTACAACCCACGGTGACGACGATGTTTGGCGAGGAATATGGCAACAACGGTGATGATGGGTGTGGCCAAGAGAAGGGGAAGAGAAGAAGAGGCAGAAGAGGAAGAAGAAGAGAAGGCGATGAGGAAGCCGTCAGAGAAAGGCGGAATTCTCCGTTTAAGTCTTCAGTTATATTATTTTTCCCTTTAGCCTACAACCGTTTTGGATCTTCGATGATCCGCAGCTCAGACAAGGTGATGATGTGCAGGCCTATTCTGAGTAAAACTTCTTGCAATTCTTCTAGGTTTGCAGTCTGAAGCAGACCAGATGTTGCTGATTATTTCTGGAATGGTCAATGCTGCGCCAGCCCAAGTCGTTGTGCCCGTGGAATGTGGAGGTTTGATGGTGGATAATTCTTGGATGTGCAGTCCCGTTGTTCCCAGAATGGTTCCAGTACTGCACCGTATTTGGTATGGTATATATCGGTACGGATGTATCATACATATACTGTATATTACATCTTTACTGCGCAAGAAGCGGAGAGGAATATTGTGCAAAGTACATTATCATTCACATCCATATTTTCATAGGTTTGGGAGATTAAAAAGTTGGAGAGATTCAGGGCTGAGAAGACTGATATATTTCTTAATGAGCTCAAACAGGTTAATGCTACTCAAACCTATCCTGAGATTTTTTGAAACTACAGACACTTCCATTCACCTTTCACCTTTGCAATTTGTCTTTGTATATCCATCCATACACCTGGGCTTATATAAAATACCCATGTGGATGCTCAAACTTTAACTCTGACAACCCTCAATCTCGTGCCTTGATACACTTTATGTTACAGCAAAAGTATTTCTCTATTAAATAATATATACATATACAATATACAATACATTTCCTCCGTACACATGTGGTATAGAATACGCCGTAATTCGGGTAGGATAGGAACCAGCGTTGCCGTTCTTCATCCATTGCCGTTTGCATCAAATAGTCAACACCGCAGATAACTGTATTTTTATTTTAAGCGCGCCAGAAGTAAATACCAGGAAAGTATTTCTATCATACTACACTTCGAAATAATACAACTCCCGATCTTCTATCCCTCATTTCATAAATTCCAACAGCTTCCCTCCTGCACGGAGCCTAGCTAATAGTCATAGGAATAGTCAGTCGATGTCTTCGGGTTTTCTTCGGGTGCGAAAGTAAATAGGGTATGTATAGGCATCACCTAGGCGTCATTGAGGTTAAGCTCTGTGTTGTGGCTATCCCAGGTTAAAGCTACCAACAAGCGCCCACCGAACAACCGCCCCATCAACGAACCAGGTTGGTAAAATAGTGTACAGTACGTATGGTACAGTACATGTTCAGTACGTGTACCACTGCTGGGAACCCCAACGTCTCTCAAACCGTCCCTTGCAAAGATTCATCTACCGGCAAAAATGCCGTTATTCATTGGTTGGGGTCTCCTTTCCGCTTGCGCGATTACCAACACTCTGCATCACTGGCGAGTTCAGTGTCAAGGTAACAAGCGAGCTCTCGAAAACAGGGTTATTGATAGAAGCGTAGAGGCCGAGACAGGCCTTAATGCTTCCAACACACGCACGTTCCCGCTCCTAACATCCCAATCTTTTGGTGGCGTACCCCGCCTCTGAACCACTAGGTTCACAATGAGAGTCTCTTTCTTCGCACCAAGCCTTGCAATCCCTGTATGTGGGGGGGCGGAATTCATCCTCTGCAATCCACCCCTCCGCTCAGGCGGCTTTGCAAACATGTGCTTTTCTTGGCAGGTTTCATCGTTGGTTAAGGTTGACTTGCTGGTGTGGATTTGAGATGCACACTTTGGATGAGAGTTTTTGATTCGGCTACGAGGGTGGAGCTCGAAATGTTGGTTCATTCACCGCCTTCAGTGAGACGGTTGAGCCGATATGTGGAAACTCCCACATCGCTTGACGAGTGTAGTTAAGTGTCTTCCGTACAATAAGTTCATATGCCCTACGTGAACACACATGGACAACCCATTCACTCTTAGAATGAGGCTGAAAGATACTTAGGTGAGAACCAACTAATTCACCACCTACTCAGATGCACCGCCTAGTCGCATGATTCTCTACCACTTCATAGATTTGCAGTCAGATATCCCAACAGCTATAGAGAAAAGTTGCCTAATTATGGAGAACTTTAATGGGAGCCTGTATGAATAGTATGTCCTATAATACCACATCCCACTGCACTGTGTCTGCTCACTTTTGTGATTGTTTATTAGACTGTTTAAACCACTTCTCTTTTATAGTAGATCCATCCCCTATTAACAGTCAGATCCTCTCCCTGGCCCATATATATTATATATATTTAATTATGTATAATCATCTGACGTCTCCCAACCAGCTGATCAAAAGCTTGATTAATTAAATTAGATAAGCTTTATATATAAAACTTGAGATATTTTTAATTTTCTCATTTTTAAAGACTTAGCTGTTATAGATCATAAAATGTAACAGTAACAAAATATTCAAAACTATATTATATTTTTTAAAAAATAAAAATATATATTAAAATATTAAAACTTGTTTTAAAAATTATTTTAAACCCTTTTTAATATTTTTATATAAATAAAGAATAATAATTAAAATTTTTTAATTTTTTAATATAATTATTTTAAAAAAAAACAAATAATTTTTAATATTTATGAGAGATATAAAAAAGTTAATATATAAATATAAAAAATTAAATTTTAATAAAGAATTAATTAAATTTAAATTTATTATAATTATTATAATTATTTAAAATTAAAAGTTAATAGTATTAATTAATTATAAAAAGTTAAATATATAATTATTAAATAATATATTTAAATAAATAATAATATAATAATTAATTATTATTAAAGTTAATAACTTTAATTTTATATAAATTTTATATATAAAAATATATATATAATATATTTAAAAATAATAAAATAATTATTTAATTTAAATATATAAAATTTTATAAAATTAATAAAATATATTAATAATATATATAAATAAAAGTAAATTATATATTTTTTTACTATGATAAAATATTATATATATTTATTTATTTATTTAAAGAAAATTAATATTTAAAAAGTTAATAATATTTTAATTTAAATTATATTTATTATTATTTTTATAAAATTTATTAAATTCTATCTTATAATATTAATAAAAAAAAATATACTCAGTTTAAAATAATTTTATAATATCATTTATCAAATTTTTAAATATTTAAAATATTACTAGAAAGTTATAATTTGCAAGGTAATTTATATAAAACAACAGGCAGCGAAGCTAACCATATATAGTTGCTTTTATTTAGAACTCTTGTTTGCCTCTGTAATGTTGCATCAATGTTTTTCAATTGATTCTGAATTCTCTTGTAACCTGAGCATAATTAGAGATCAATTACCCTGTTTAAAACCTCAAAAGCCGACTGGGATAACCTCTTCATTGGGCTCCATGGCGGATGGTTGAAGTTGGGCACTTGGAGATGGAAAAGAGTGAGGTCGTTGGATTAACGTTAGTTAACTGACAATAAGTTACAGTAGTTAGTTAAATGAAGATTTCAACCTTTCTCTGATGAGTGGGCAAGCCATTCCTGCGTTATCTACGGTACGATTTGTATGGACTAGTCAACATCTGTGGGCACTCCGTACCTTAAACTCCGAGTCACCTTCCAGCTCCACCTCTGAAAGTTTTATATTATAGGGACCAAAACAAAAATCCGTGTTTTCCTGCGTTTCGACATCTTATCAATTCCCTTAATCGGGTTAGTATGATAATTGTATCGCATTAAACTATGAGGCTTTTACATTCTGCTCCACCTACCGAATATTTTGATGGATACTACATTCTCCAGGGAAGAATCGTTCCTCCATTTTTTTTCCCCTCGGGCATCCTTTCAACTAGGGACAAAACATCTCGGTGGGAAGTCGTCAAAGGAGGTTCCTGACGGAAAGACAAAAGTTCTGAATAATACTAATGGTAACTGTGGATTGTCAGATGATTGGTGTGCGTGTAAACTTGACAAAAGAGCCACGCAAACTGAAAGAAAATAGACATGAGGTTTTGCCACCACCCTTGCTTTCTGAGCCGCTGCGATGGGGAAATAGTGAATACCGAGGCATTTTGAAGGATGACAGCTTAGTTGGTGAAGGTGAGTGGGGGTTGTATGGAACTACATCTGCAGCGTGCCTGTATAGTTGATAAAGAGGAAGAGCCATCTTTCCCGAAAACCTTCCGCTGCTTCTAGCGTTGTCATGGGAGAAATTCCAGAAGACTATTTGAGCCTCGTCGAATAGCGGCGGACGAATAATGCAGTTGTTAAAGTGTAAAACAAAGTTGGACAACTTAAATGCAGACGGGACGAGAAAAGGCTGTATGACATGTTCTAACGTCCAGCGTATGTGTTGTGTCCTACACATGCGGGGCACAAGGTGGGACAAGGCCAGTTAAGTTAAAGCAAATGGAAATTCTGGAAGTTTTTCTTGAAGCCAATCCCGAATGAAAATCTCTGGTCGTTGATTCCTTCAAGGGCTGCGTGGGTCAATGACAGGCTATGGTATTCTGATCGAAACGGTACCGATCCAGCAAATTGGTAACGAAAAAATACTATTATTTGTAATATGTTTTCCACAGCGTTCGGTAGTCGAAGTCCGCCTGGCGGGATCGAATCGGCAGTGAATATGTTCGAATCGGGAGCTTTGAACAGTTCGGAAAATCGGTTAATAAACGGAAAATATAAAACATAATTTAGTTATCTCTGGCTGCGCGGGACCGTTGAAGATACTGCGTAAAAAGTTAACAAGCCTGGGTCCAGCACGAGTGCTCGCGACAAGAACCCCCATGCGCAAGTAGCCCTGCTTCTATGTAGGTCATGGCGCTGTTATTTATCTCCTCAGTCGTCCCCCATGTATCGAAGATATAGACCTGGTGGGTTGGTAAAAAATCAACCTTGATACGCCCTCATTCAAGGTAGTAAGGTCAGTCAGTAAGTTGATAAGAAAACTGTAGTATGTGTTTTTCATCATAACGATTATTGAAAATGCTATTTCAGCAACCAGCATATTTGAATTGAGAATATTGACATGAGATAATTTCTAAGAAAAGTGAATCTGAACGAGAGCCCATTCTCTTAATAGTGCATAAAACCAGCTTCTCAGAATAGTCTTCAGTGAAATAGATGTTCTCAATAAAGTTATAAAGTAAAACCCTAACAATATTCTAAAACCACAAGTTACAAAGATAATAAACAGAGGGAGATAGTTGTGATTCAAAAATAAATTTGAGAATGATCACGGTAGCAATCACTTCTGTCAAAATATCTTAAGATGATAAGAAAATTCTGCGAGAAATAACTCACGCTAATAACAATTATCTGCCAAATTGTGTATCGACGTGTCGGACTCGCGAAGTTCGCAAGGCGTCAAGATGCATAAAATACCGAATCCCAGCAAAATAGAACAGGTACAATACCGGTAGCCTGTGCCTTGCATCTTGGACCCCACTCGTACGTGTAAATTGTAAGAATGTACGGAGGATTAGTAGGCATAGGAGTGTGTATACGAGACGAGAAATGCGAATACAATAATAATCGACAAACTATATTAGTGACAAACCGCCGGTTGGTGGTTATAACGAATTATGACGCTAGGATCGAACCTTAGGGCTTTGCTGATCACGTGGGGCTACCGGGGTAGATAAAATCTAGCAGGTAAACGTTCGACGTCAAACACTCAACCTGAAGTTCACACCAACGTCGTGCGAGTAGCCAGTGTCGATGCTTGACGTCTAACATGTCCCCCGTGTTGGAGGGTGGGGGGTTATTAAATTTAAACAAGGATCCCCAACTTGGCTTTATGGATCGGAGTTTTGCTGCCCTGAGCACTTAAATGTTCGCCCTTTTGAATCAACGATGAATTAATTATCCGTTCTCCCTGGAATAGTCCACGGCATTAGGTATTCTTTGAATCATGTCTACATAGGGGGTTATAGGTAGTGTTGTCTGCGGTGTGCATTATCTTCTCAGATGAAAAACAGCAGAAATATGTTAGTTAGCATGATCCAAGCTTGATCATCGGAGGTTTGTTACATCTTGCCATCATAATATCTTTGTAAAGGGGCCGAATGTCATATACCAATTCAAGGTGATATGGACCATCGGAACCAATTTCCTTCCCAGCAGGGGCAGGCTTCACTCGTCGAAAAATCCCCCGCCACCTGTCCCCGACTGCACCAAAAACCTGGAGATCCCAAGGGTTGCGCTCTGTCCCTCCTCGACCTACCAAGCGAACTACATATACAGCTCCTGTCCTGGCTTAACTTCCGTGACCTCCAAATGCTTCGTGCTACAAACAGCTATTTTCGCAACCTACCCTCAGAGGTGGAAATCGCCCGTATCCGACGCAGCTACCTCAGTGATCTTGCTCGTGCAGAGATAGAAGAAGTCACCAGGTCTGCAACCCTCACACTATCGCGATTCTCAGCCAGTGAAGCCAACAACGAGACCAAATTCATTTCCCCACAGCGTTTGACATGCTACAGCTGTATCCGGGATCTACCAATTCATGCCTTCTCTAGCACACAAACAACGCGACGGCGAGGGAAGGGACACGCAGATGCCGCTAAGCGCTTCTGTGCCGATTGTGCTCTCCGCCTCCACAAATGGGAGCCAGGGATCACTCTCTCGTTCTCTTGGGGTGAAGCGGTATATTGCCGGCGGTGTCGCGAATTGAAGCCATTGCGTGATAGTGAGACCGAGTGGGCGAGGATTTTTGGTTTGTGTGAAGGTTGTCGAACTCTGCTAGGGATTCCGGATTGGCATCAGCATGGTGAAGGAGAAGGGGCGCAAGGATTTTGGTATGGAGCGAAAGAGCTGCTAGATCGCACTTTTGCGGAAAGAGGTAGGAGAATTGGGGAGAAGGACATAGAGGAAATGTGGGAGGAGCTGAGGACAAAAATTGCTGAGTTGAGATTATCGGAGGAATCATAAGACTAGAGGGGTAGGGATAGGTAAGTTAAGGCAGAGTAATTGCTTATCGGGGCGCAGCATATGACGTGCATCTGAGCCTTTTCTCACAGCCTTCATTAAGTTGACTGCTGATCAACTGTCACGCCGTTCGAGGAACATGATTCAACCTGACGACTCCGACGAAATAAAACACAAACATTGGTTCTTTCTCAAGCCTACCTCACCCGCCCCGCCATTCCTGTCGTTGGGCGAATTCCTCTGACATTACTCTTGGAGTTTTGGCCCTGAGGCAAACGTTCCCAGCGGAATGAAAATGGCGATTTTATTTCTCGTGGTTCTTCACACTCCCACGAAATTATGTCAGTCTGTTTTTGTACAGTGATGGTTCTAGAACAATGAACGGCTATGAAGTTTGTGGACCCATCTAACATTGTCCTCTTTGATACGTGGGAGGATCAAAGCATACCATAAATCTCGGAAGGAAACAACCCTTTTATAAAAGTCGAATCTTCTTCCATTTTCAGTTGCACGCCTGGCTATACGTTATACATACATCAGGAAACAAATCAAACTCCGTATACGATCTCAGTGCCAAAAGGTGGACTCAATCTACCAAAACATCAATCGAAAGAACCGCCCAAACTAGGTTCTGATTTCCCGTCATCCCCATCTGTTTTGACCTTCCCATATCAACATGCTCCCTTTCCCAAATTATAGCACTTTTGCTTCAGACAAATATTTTTCGTGCTATTAGGCACAGCCACTCCGACCCCAAATTCGGTCATTGCCAAAGCTCATCAAGGGTAGGAGTCTCTGGCTCCCTGATAACGAGGTGAGAAATGACATTGCCGTTGGGTCTATGTGTGAGTCAGGAGGAAAGGAGGCGTCTGTTAATCGTCTCTCTGGTACGATGATATTGGCATTGGGATTCGTCATCGATTGTTGTGATGGATCCACCCAGATGTGCAGAATAGGGGGCGGCACACTTCATTCGTATATGCAGTTTCTTATGACGTGAATCTGTTACTGGTAAAAAAAAAAAAAAAAAGCTTCAGGGAAGCCATGTGGTACGCTGTATTGCGTACTTTCGAGAGTGTATATATGAGTCCTATATTCCTAGGCGGCATTGGTCACGGTTGATACGGTGCGTTTCGGTTAATATCTGCCAAGGTAGGGGTGCGGTGAGTCTCGTTAACCAGATAATCGCGCGTTCAATAGGGATTCTGGCGGTGGAGGTGCTAAGCGTGGAATCGTTATGTTTCACTGGTCTCACAGTTGCAATCTTTATTTTCTGTCTCTCCCTGTTCTAGACAGGGTACTGAGAAAAAAACGTCCTTTTCGCAAACAAATCCACCATATCATTACCTCAACTGTAGCCTCATTGGAATCGGCCCCCAGTGGTTGGTTATCAAGCAGTACGAGTTAAACGTGAACTTAACGAAATGAGCACAGCTTGGTCATTAAAATCGTATAACAAACTTATTTCAACCGACCAGGTCGAAACTCTTCATATAGTATTAATATACATGTTTGCCAAATAGCCATACATATACTATCTACAAATACCAATGCACGCATGCACGCACATACTGTACAAACACGAATGGATGCAAATCAAGGGGATTGACCTACGGTTCAACAGCCAGATGCGTTGAAAGGACAGAAAACGAGGCAAGGTAATCGGGGCACGAACGATGACATGGTAGAAGGGCGGACCGTTTAAAAAAACACAAAAAGAAAAGAGAAGAAAGAGAAGAAACGCAGATATACATATAATGCAGAAATTGACACTTTTGACGAATGACTACGCCTATCTTGACATGTGCCCATTACAACAATCTATATATGTGGCCTTCTTTCGCCGCATCATCCTCTATGCCTCACAGCAATCTATCCTGCAACAACTGCCGTGATCCGTAATCTGTAAACGAGAGAAAGCAACCTTGTCAAAACCAGCAAAAGCGATCCGCCGTGGCTCTCAGGTCTCCCGACAGTAGTCATCGCATTGGGCACTTCTCCGCAGCCCTCCCCACGCGAATAACTATAGGGACATCCGCCGCCCTGGCCTCTCGGATACAGCACGCCATACACGTCCGTTTAACGCGGCCTACGACTGCATTTACACCGACCATTGCACACCATGAACGTGCAAAGAGCTCTTTGTCATTGCTACCGCGTGCGTCGATGATATATGTGTGTTTCTGTCGCGATTGTTCACGCTTTGGCCGGCGATCAGTCGCGAGCGATAGGTAGTGTGCCGGAAAGTGGAATGAATGATGTTCTGGAGGGGGGGAGTTTGGTGTCGGAGTTGGTGGGAAGGGGGTTGATGGTAATGTATGGATAGGGATATAGCTGTATGGAAACGAATCTGTGTGAAGTGGGTGGCCAGGGAGTCGGGAGTAGCAACGGGGTTTGCCCTTCTTGGGGATATCATTTTTCTTATGCGATGACCGGCGCTTTTCGTTTTTGAAAGAATTGAGACGGTGGTAGTGCCGGCTGCGCCGAGGCTTGGAGCCGAACGGTGTATTGGGGTGTGCGATGTAGCCAAACGGTGGAAGGCAGGGAAAAGATGATATGAACGAGACATTGTACTTTATATGGAAGGTAATTTTAGATGGTGCTGATGAGGATGGGGCGAGTGTAAATGTTAGATGTGCAGTAGCCTTGCGAGGGCGCGCAAGAACAGAAGGATTATGTGAGCGTTGTATAGACAGAATGGAACTTTCATACGATATATGGGTATCAAGATCTGTGCCGGGGTGAGCTTCATCAAGCGGCAGTGAGAAAGCGGTTGCTGTCAAGTCACCCTCCACTCCAAGGGGAGACGAGTCGAGAAGAACCTCTAGTCCCTGGTTTATCCGGGGATTTACATTATTTTTGATGTTGTTAATCGTCTCGATCTCAAGCCAACCATCGCCGAGGGGAGCCCCTGTCTCATCTAGTGGAATAACCGGCGTACTGATCCAACCCATACAAATGGAAGATTCGCTGAGACTGGCAAGGATCCGACCGACAACACATGCTTTACTCCACCAACTGCGGCCTTTGTATATAAAAGCACCATATAGATTAGCAATGGGCCCAAGCCTTTTCACCGCCTCGGGGTCGTTCTCCAGAAGAGTAGATATCAAAATGTCACATATGGATTCACCTGGCATGACCAATCCAGTTAGCCAAGTACGAGATATCCACCCTCCAAGGTAGAGGTCCGAATCACCAGCAAAAGTGCTGCAGTCATGGAGTTGGATTAGGTTTGACGTGTGGCTTCTGCGGTACATGTCGCATTTTCCCAGTGGCTTAATGTTGTTCGGCAGGGGTTCTGTACGTATTGGAGAAGCAAACATGCTCAGCAAATTCGATCGATCCGTAAAGGCGGCCTCCAATTTCTCCGTCATGATATGCTTCATCTTTTCAAAACCGGGCCACCTGAGGATTTCTGCAAAAACCAGTAGCGCTTCAAGTTGTTGCCATGGGTGTCGCGGAAGCTGAATGCAGTCAGTGATCTGCTTCTCTTTGGACTTCGCTGCTGAGGGCGTGGGCTGGATGTTCTTGGCTTTTTCTTTCACCAACCGATTGGTAGCAGGTTCGAGGTCTGCCTGCGGGAGATAATGGAAAGTAAGGTTCTCGAAAACACGACGACAAAATATCAATCCCCAATCCGATATATCTGACCGTAGACCATTGATAATGTAAATTCCACTTGCGGTAACAGGTATGTCAGTAGATTGGTTAAATATCCGGATTTTTGCTGCTGCATCGGCACGAAACAAAATTTCAGCCGACAGCAAAATCTGAATTAGAAGCCACTTCCGTTCCAGCGTAATATTTGAGCTCTTTGATTTTGGAACATTATTCAGACAATCGCCGTCCTGATGTGGAGGAAATTCCCAGAGGATTTGACCCGCACGGGTCCTCCACTCGGCTAGGCTAAAATCTACCCAGGCACCCTTGATGCCCAGCACTTGGATTAGCGTGCTAATCTGGAACCGAAAGCTATCGGGGTGTTCCGCATCGACGTTGTTTGGGGGCGGATATAAAAATGTGCTGAAGAGATGACGGTGGAGGTCTGAGACTGTCTGCTTGTCAAGCAGGGTAACAGACTGTCCTTGAAGAGTAATTTGGTCCTGCACATCTGAAAGAGTTTGCAGCCTCTCTGTAATGGTCTCCATGGAGCAATCGCGGACACCAATGCGTTTCCAAGCAGCAGGGCCTTCCGCTATCAATTTCAGACGATCGAGATTGGCATTGGGACGATAATCGGAGTAAGGTTCATTTTTTCCATTCGACCCAGTTATCAGGTGCAGGTGCTTATCAAACTGGCGCTGCCGAACGGAACGCTGCATTGGTTTGGGCTCATACAGAATAGGAAGCTCCATGAAATTGCGAAATCCAATACAACCATCCTCTTTCGCCGTAGACGAGAGCATGTTAGGGATCTCGAAAACTCCGACGTCAAAAGACGGTGGTCTACTGCCGGGTTTTGCAGTTAAGGTGTCTGGATATATCTGTATTCCTCCATTCTCCGGAGATACCGGGATATGGGCATGGAGAGTTGACAGTGTGAAGGAAGGGTGTTGCAAAGGTTTTCGATCGGTGAGATTTTGGATTCTCGTGCTCTCATCCCATGGGAAAATCACATGAGGATACCACTGGGGACGTTTCCCTTTCTCCAGCAAAAAGTGCGGCGCTCCAGAAAAGATGTATTTCAGTTCATTTTCGGACAGGGAGTTCGAGGTGTCCGAGACCTCTTCCAGATGGGTTGCAGATTCATACGCCTCCTGGACTTCAGCGGGAACAGCCGGCTTGGGAATATATATACTTGGTCGTCCCGAAACCCTGCGTGGATTGTCCGGACGGGAAGGCGAAGTAGGGGACTCAGAAGTCGGTGGATATCCTTCTTTTTTCTTTTTGTTGACGGTTAGCTCTATTCTCGTTTCCCCTCATAGATCTAGTGGGGTCGAATCACATTGCTTGGATTTTTGTCCTTTGGCGAATTTCCCTCACGCGAGCGATGCTGCCCAACAAAAAACCCTGATATAGAATATTTTCTTCCGGTGGAACCGGACTGAGCCTCTCTAGATGCCTTTCCACTTCCGCTCTTCTTGCCATGCATAAGCGGCATTCTGGAAGCTCAAGTTTAACAGCGATGCGCGCAGAGTTGTCCCTGGCTCTAGATAGTTACTCTGTAGATATGGAGACAACGGAATGATAACAGCAGCGCCAACGAGGGACACTGGAAGAGGACCAGAGCTGTTTGCCATGATCTTGAGGGCAGGATGGAACTCCCAATGCCGAAGCACGCTTCATCCTGGCGCCATTGAACTTATGTAAGCTCACAAATTCCCCTATCTACGAGCGGAGTCCAATAGCTTTTGAAGCCGAATACGGAGGACAAATAGATGACGTATGAAGCACCAACTGAAGCAATACCCGATTTCTCCCCGGTTCGGGGGAGACAACAATACTCTCTTTTATCTCACGGCGAGCTCAACAACGCGAGCCCGGGTAATTGTTGTTTTCCATTACCTGTTCTGGCCGGAGCACTGAAGGTTTGGATGCCTTGGTAGTTTCTTAACCAAACCAACCTCGATGCTTTCCAGCCTCTTTCTCCTGTGTCTCGACGCCTCGGATAGAGCCATATTTGTGATTGACAGGGCAGCGGATGTGCCTGGGGTTTGCTGGGTAGCACCCGTTTCTTAAGTGATAGCATTCTCAAGAGGAAGAAGTGGACAGGAATTCACTCTGTTAGAAAATAGATCAGAAAGCTGCACCGTGAGACATACATTCTTCAGTTAAAAGGGTCTGCGCAAGCAAGGGTTTTTTTGGCATATGTATGCATGCTTGCTTACCATCTGACATTTGGCGGCTCCTTTTCTGTCTTGCCGTCTGCCAGTTTTACTTGTCGCTGGGTACGATGCACACAGAAGTGCCCTTTTCTTCCTCCCATCTGCTTCGATGTATTTCAAAGAGGCAGAGAGAAAGTGTGAATGGAAGGAATGATTTCTACGGTGCGGGCTGGGCGCTTTATGACTAGCTTTGTCCGCCACTGCAGGTCACTGATTTTAGTTCGCGGACGCTCCCATCTTCCACATAAATAAACGACAGCCTGGAACTACGCATCTGATTTTCTGTCATTTATTAGTATGCTATATAGTAATAGCTAATATGTATCATATCCCCACTATTCGCTGGGAGGTGGGGCCGGGATGAGCCGTACAAAGCATGCATATCTGGATATTGAAGCTGTCAAAACTGGGAAATTCGCAATCCGTCCAGTGCATCATCAGCTGCTTGGCTGGGCAAGAGACGTTTTTCTTCCCTGAAATTGTAACAAAAGCTGGCGGCGAAAAGAGACTGGAGATAAGAAGAACTGCGCCATGGTCTCTCTCCACAGGGAGAGGAAAAGTAGCCTACGTACATGTGCACGGGACGGTGTACCCACGCCTGTTATCGCTATCAACGGTGCTGGTACACCCAGGTACCTTAACAATCGCTCGGCAGGTGAATCGATAACTAGCTGACAGCGTAGACAGTCGGTGCGACATCTGAGATGCATCCTGCACCCGCACATGTAGATATCTCTCAAGTTCTAGAAAGAGCTGGGCGGCTTTACCCCTCGGTCTAGCATATTTGCTCTATCGATTCGCAAAGTGGAGGTCAAGATATTATCAATATCAGCAATTGATAATAGCAAGGGACATTCTATTGAAGTAAAAACCGCGCAGAAGTTCTCCTTCCATCCATGGAGGTTCCAAGAAGGAGGAAGATATGTCGAGGCAAGGGGGTGGATGGACGATCAGAGAAGTTCTATTCTGCTTCAGTCGCATAGACGAAACAGACAAAGGTATCTTTTATGAATGGGCTGCAGTGTACTCCGTACTTATCCATCTCTTTTCAATACTAAATAATCTAGTTTATGTTTTCGTGACTACATACAGAGCGTAATTATTTCCTTGAATAAGTTGCCAATGCCGCAGGTGTGGATTCCAGTGCAATTGCGTTGCTCACCCTTTGGCTGGCCAGCAAAACATTCAGGGACCCGTAGTTAATCACTTAAAAGGGATTAAATAAGTTGACACGGATTCCCCCCCCCAAAAAAAAAAAAAAAAAAAATTTGGACAAACCAAAACTCAAAAACCCATATCGGCTGTGAACTCGAGATGAACCATTCGGGATGTTGATCTCGAAACTTGGAAGATTTCGTACCCAATCATCTGCATCTCGCTTAAAAGGCTGGCCCCATCTGTGCTTTTTTGCGTGTGGTGGCAAAGGCGTAGTTTGTTGGCCAATGTTAGTTTCCGGGCGCTCACTGGATGAATTTTGAAGCTTTTACGTTGAAATATAATTAATTTGGTCCCCCGGTCCTCGTGCCTCATCTGAATGATATGGTCACGGTTTCGGTGGAACTGACCCTAAGAAACAGGGAATTATTGCATCGTTGTTAATCGGGGCAAAGGAAAAAAGGAAGAAAGGAAGAAAAGCAAAAAACGACAAGAGTTAAGTTATATAACTAGTTAAGCGGAGGGGGTGGAAATAACTAACCCGCCAAGTGCTCTTGTTTCTTGAAGGTCTAGAAATTTGGAATAAAGGGTCTAGAAATTCTCCGTAATAAGCGCATGTATCTGCATAATAGTGCGGGTTTAAAGAATGTGTTGAGCAAATCAGGGTCGTTCGATTACAAAAAAATGCCGTTATTTTCTTTTCTTTCGCCCGAGTAATCGGCGCATCACAATCAAACATTTTTGGCTTGCGATGCTGCTTATTCTAGAACTCTGGGCTTACAACAACATAAGGACTTTTGAATATTTAGAAAGGAATATTTGAGTTTGATATTTTTTTTTTTTTTTTTTTTTTTTTTTTTTTTTAATTTCCAATAGACGTGAAACTCATGAGGGATGAAATGTGAATTGGTAGTTAAACAAGTCATTAGATGTCCTTTCATTCAATGCATCACCACTCAGTCATCACAGCCATTTTCTTGAGAAAGCTAAAGTGTATTATTCCATTACGTACGCTCCGCAGAGAACAGGTAAAATGGTTGACAGGGTCTTTAGCTCTCATCTCTCAGCTTCTCATTGAACCAGCAACTTGTATGGGATCCCGCAAAATCAATAATCCACATATCGTCTTCTGCGTCCGCAAGGACGGTTGTCTGGTCTTACGTCCCACCAAAAATATTACCAGCCTGGTGAAGTTCGTTATCCTCAGTTTCACCTGCCTGATGTACCACTCCTCAAGGGGATGACGACCTGCGTTAAATACCTCCTTTCTATAGAAATAGCATTTGGCGGACCCGATGAAGGCGAGGAGAATTCTGAGCATTCAGCGTCATCTTACACCAAACGGAGGTAAAACTGAGGAGCCTAGGTACTCAAATCCTATCGCTAAGTCCAGAATGGCAGAGCAGGGTGTCTGACTTTCGCGTTCAAAATTGCTGGGAGCTCCCATGGTAAGATGGCTTTTAAAACAGTTCCTTGTCTGTGTCATTGAGAGATACTTTTGAAGGTCACGCTGGTCGCTTCTGCTCCGCATCCCAGGGGCAATTTGACTCTCGGAGGATGGTAGACGGCGGACATCTGCGTTCACAGCAGCACTCCAGAGTTGTGGATGCGCGGTGAAAGGTCCTTTGTCTCAGGTAGTGGCTGTGTTGCAGCCAAACTTGCCATCGACATCCGAATGATTAACTAAGTGGATTATCGGAGTGTTGTAATATTCCTCCTTTCAACGTGGTTGTTTCGTGAGCTCATTGGGAAGCACGCCTCCGGCCATTCAAGTGACACATCTTTTGCGTCGGGTCCGGTTCATCGGGCTTGAGCTTGAAAGTCGTCATCATCCATGGATAACGAGGTCAACTATTTGATGCGGGAAATTGTCTCTAGAGACTGAGCAGTCATCCAGGTCCAGATTTCCTGCCAGGGCTGGAAGATCGTTTATCGTTAACACATAGCGAACAGGTCAGTTCTGTCTTTATCACCACAAGCAAAGCGGGCGGCGAATCATGCGCCGGAGAGGGCGTTGAGGTTGAGGTTGTGTTCAGTGGTGATTTTCAGCCATCGTTTAACCGTAGAGGGGCTTTGTCGCCCTGAGAGATGATGCATTCTCTCGAGAGGTCGAACCATTTGCTAGCCAGCCACTTTCCGAGTTACTTAACAGAGGTTCTGGGTGGGCGCTTATATTTTAAAAAACAGGGAGATATTTCCCACCCAAATACAATATTAAATTAATTAGTACCAGTTTCTACAGATGATCTCTTAAATGGCCCCACTTTTCCTTTATGGAATTTACCACTAGTTTTATATGTGAAATCCAGTTCACTTCAAAATGTGAGAATCTTTAAATTTAGTCTTCGTCCTGATTATTTCAAAATAGTCTCAAAACGCCTCCCTACCTGCCTACCTCCTCCTGCCTGCCAATCTTCCTATTCATCAACCTGCCCATCAATTTCACAAGGTAGGCAGGTTGGTGGATAGGCTGATTGACAGGCAGGCAGAGTGAAGGCAGACAGGTAGGTGAGGCGGAGGAGTGAATATTAGAATGAATTTCAGCGGAAGAGAAACACTGGCCTGCCCACTGCTGCTGCTTGCTTGAGACTGACTTATTTTGAAATAGACATGTTTTAGTGTGATCAATTTCACAATACACAAACCTAGTGGGAAATTCCAAAAAAAGAAAAGTGGAGCTATTTTAAGGTTTGGGACCGAATTGAGATGATCGGTAGAAACCGAGGACTAAATTGTATTTGGGCGGATATATTTATAACTACGTACATACGTGCATGCACTGCGCATCCGGAGTATGGAGGAGTAACTATGGTTCATTTCTTCAAGCCATTCCACGCACGCACCCAAGAAAGAGAGCCTCGAAAGAATTTACAGGGGGTGATCTGTAACTGCTCTTTCAACTCCGTAAAGGTATGGATTATTAGTTGACTTAGTTGGCTGTATTGGTTACGTGCTAGATTGTCCATTTCGTCTCGCGTTGGAATAGCCAGGGCCAGAAAGCTTGTCAGAGCCAAAAAATAAGCCTATCCACCAACGACGAGTGTCTATTGGTTAGTTACTGGTCGTTTGTCCCGAAGTATGGTCGCCTTGCAGTTGGTCCAATCCAAAGATCCAACGTCTACGAGGGATCGAAGATATGCCAGCCAGGCAGGGCACGAAGCATTAAAAGACCACCACCACCACCACCACCACCAACACTACTACTAATAATACTGCTACCACTCTACTCTGTACCAGTGACTATGCTGATGTGGGACTAGATAAACGACCGCTGTCCACACCATCGCTGTTGACCCCATCCATCAGACAAAGAGCACAGTTCGTCCAACTAGTGAAAAAAAAATAACCAGTGTGGGAATTCCTGGTGGGTTCTCTGCCTTAGCTAATGAACGGAGCAAGCCAAGATGTAAACTATCACCTTCAGGCTTCGGGTGACGAAACGATTTTGAAGGAGTCAGTTGTCTGTCTGGTCGTAATATTCAACAGATAAATAGCCGAAGAAGCTCGTCATCTGTTAACCTGGGAACTTCTGTGCTTTCTCCCTCTCCTCCCTTGATCCGTATACATAACTCCCTCCCTCTTGTCTGCTCATCCTCCCAGGACGTCCATATTCATCTGGGCTGACTGCTCCATCACCCTCCGAAACGAATCGACATATTGCCACACACGGATCGTTTTTGGTAGTAAATATAAAGTGAGTCTACGCTGCTTTGTTTGGCATCATGTGTTTGGTTTTGAGAATCGTTCCATTTCTCTGGACTTTGGTTCAGGCCTTCCCGCCTTATCCATTATGGATCAGGAGAGTTCCAGCTGCGAGAGAAGATTGCGTCCAACTTCGGCCAACTGGGTCTTTGCATGTAAGTGCGTGTACCATTAAGTACCTGACTGGCCCCCCCTAGGCTCCGGGATACCTGGGGTTGACCCGGTGTACCAGAGCCACACCAAAGTTTGTCTCGAAACTTCGGAAGAGTCACGCCGCTCCACACTGCATCGCCTCCTGCTTAAGTCATCCTCCTAGTATATATCCAGCGTATCCCAGCAGCCCAACTCTATGTCTCTTTTATTTTTCTCGGTCTCTGTTATCCTCTCCCTGTACATGTTACTGCTTAACTGCTCGCTCTCCTGTATCGTTGTTTCATTCCCTAACTTGTGTTGTCTGTCTCCTTACCTCTCGTTTCCTCTCCTATAGATATCCTCCCCCTTCGGCCGACAGGGTTACGGGTTCCAACCAACTTCCGTGTCTCCCGAACGAGACCCAAAGGATCTTGAAGAAGCTAGAATTAGTTTTCCAAGAACATTACGTCTGCCGCCCTTATAATCACAATCTGGTCTGTTCGACCAATATCGTTTCTAAACGTTACCAGTTCAAGGGTATATACAAAGCTCCCCGGACCCCCTGCCTGGCCAGTTCAGTACGAATAGCAGTCTATTGAATACTCCAGCTAAATGAAATTCATAGCTACTTCTGCCTCCCAAATTTCAACCTGTCTCCTGCCTTGGTTCTGTCATTATCTCATCCTTTGTCAAGTCATCAAACCACTCCTTAAAAAGCCGCCAACAAACAACCAGCCAAGAACCAAGCTACGTAGAGGCCGTATCATCAACCGATCCATTTGTCCTCTTCTCAACTGAACAGCCTTGTTGCCAAAACCTTCGACTTATCATCACTGCTGCAAATAATACAATAATACAAATGGCACCTCCAAGAAAGCCCCGCTGCCATTTTAAGGACTGTAAAGAACCCGTCCAGCGGATTGTTGGTGATTGCGGATTCTGCAACGGTCACTTCTGCGGCAAACACCGCATGCTGGAATCGCATGCTTGTAGCGGGCTGGAGGACTGCAAGAAGGAGAGTCATGAACGGAATGCGGAGCGGTTGAACGCGGAAAGGACGACGGTTATCAAGGGTGTATAGGCGGTGAAAGTCTGTTTGTAATTCAGGCCTGGGGTAAGATCATGATCGAGTCGTGGCAAACCACCCTCACGATACTATCTGATCCGCTTTCAATATCCCTAGGGTGTGGGATCTTCCCGGCCTAAGGATTTCGGTTGGTTGGACCGTGGAATGCCAAATGGATAAGCGGCTCGACATGTGACGGGGAACATCACAATGAACCTGCTTAGACAACCTGCCATTGAACAATGTGGTTGAGAGAGCTCAACGCGATTTACGATTACTGAAGTCTCGGCAAAGATATGCTTCAAAACGTGCGCAGGCTTCCCTCCCGCACACGCTCTCTCCGTTTCACACCCACCTTTCCACCTCTACCCCTTTCTGAGGTTCCCTTCGACCTCTTAACCTCACGATCTTTCACCCTCTGGCTAGTTTTGTCCGATTCTTCATTTTATTATCATTAATTATTATTACTATTATTATTTTTTGTTTGGCACGCGCGAAACCAACTGCATGGCGTCCGGTAGTTTAACCCTCCCATGTTTCGTCGAAACCCTGGATCTTCGTCCCCTGCTTCTTTTATCATTTTTCTGGTATAATCTCCCCCAAGCAATCTTACTGACTGATACGTTATCATTGACATAGCAATTAATTGTCCTCTTTTGTGTGAATAAGAGATCTATATACCATATTCTTTTGAAGGCAAGCTTGAAAATGCCATATTACCCTATTGGAACATATGTACATAAAATGCTGGTCTACTTAGCAAAGGTTTTTCTTTTTGGAACGTTTTTTATTTTTTATTTTTTATTTTTTTTTCCTGGATTTTTTTATACTAATTTTTTGAAGTACTGAGTAAGGAAGTGGAGTAGTTGATACTTACTTAGAAAAGCTGTCACTTTGGAGGTCCTGCGATTTAAACGCTTCATCTGGAGGTCGTTGCAAATCACACACTTGAATCCGCTCGTTCAATTCTCATTTAAAATATCGTATTAACATAAATCTGAAAGTAATAAAAAGAGAGCCTTTCATTCCCAGTCTATTCTCCAAACTGCCGCGAGGATGGTGCGGGCAAGAACGTCAAAACCTCATCAATCTGTCAACTCCAGAGACATAAACGCTCGTTGCCGTGTACATCTCACATTATCATAAAAACTGTGATAAACCCTCTATTCCCAGCGTCAAATACAGAGTGAAGCTTATAGTACTGTACATCTAATATATGAACTTATATGGAGGAGCCACATTAGAGAGCCAGGGAGACACGGAACGAAGCAGTCCGGGATATGGCTTTTATGCCATGGCAGCACTCAAGAAGCACGTAGAGGACGATGGAGGGGACGTTTGTAGGTCGATGTCATGTCCAAGGTGCAAGATATATGTATATGTATGATATTTGGAGATGAGACGCAATAGCGATATGACCAACAGCATACAGGTACGTTAACCTGGTCCGATTCGGGGCCTGTGGGCAGTCAAAAGGAAATGTTAAGTAGTTGCTTCGCACATATAGGTCAGGCAGTATATTGCCAGTCCGCAAAAGCCTCAGTCTTAGGGAGAATGACAAACGTACATGTCGTGATGCTCGCTCAGATTGCTAAGGTACTTATTCAGCTCCTCCACGCGCTCCTTGTGCGTCTTAAACCCTTCACGCTTGAGACGTTCGTCGAGCTGTACGTGGGAAAGGTAAGAAGTTAGCAGAGCAGATCAGAGGAGGGCGTGGGGAAAGCATATCTATATATATATCTATATATTCAAACAGGCTGAAATGGGAAATTATATACATACCCTCTTCCTCCGCGCCTCCTCGTACTTCCTCTCCGCCTCCGTCTTTCCCACAACGACCCTCTCTGGCCCCTCGCTCACGCCCCGACTCTGACTTCTACTCCGCTCGTCGCCCTCGACCCTTTTCGCACCTAGCATAGCATCATCCTTCTCAATACTCCCGCTCCCATCTACCTCCTCAGCGTCTTTCGCATTTTCCTTCTTTCGTTTCTTCTTTCCCTTTTTACCAATCCGGCCATCCAGTACGGGAGCACCTTTTATCTTGAGCTTCCCGCCGCCGCTAACATATTCGTCTGCGGGAGCCATCGCGTACCTGCACTTTCAAGGTTATCGACGGAGGTGTACGTGTACTAGGGCAGATAGATATTGCTTCATTGCTGCGCAGAAACAATAGCTGGGGCACTGGCTGACTGATTAGTGATTCCAGAACCTTGCGACTTGTAGCAGGTTTTGTTCGGAGAAGTTTGGTTGGACGTTTCTATTCCATTACGTAATCTTGGGCTTTGGTAATGCCACACACGCATTTCAAATGATTTGACTTGAATAGGGGGGTAATTTAAGCAACTTTGAGAATATATTGGTGAATACAATACAGTAAATATACAGTAATGCAACCCCCCCCTTTTTTTGTCCAAGAGGATAGTAATAGTCAACTTGAATTCATCAGATGATTGCAGGTGTAAACATAGTTCCTTTCCCAGCAATCGCTATTATTATCATCAAAATATATACAAACTCTTTCGAGGCACAAAGTGCAGAGCGAACTGAAGACAAATTTTTTGTAGTTTTTCGCCAAAATGTTCCCAAAAGATGATTTTTCAGTCAAATGGAATCGGCCGTAGAGTAGAACCACCCAGTCTCTTCCGCATCTCTTCCCCAGCAGCAACCGCACTAGGACCTTGATACCACAGCAATCTCCCCAGTAATCGCCACCTGTGTCTTTAGAACGGCCATGCGTGTGAGCTTCGCCTTCCCGGTCCCCAGACGCTTGTTCCAACTCATCCTTCCGCTCACCCATCCCAGGCACAGCAGGTATCAGACCACCAAACATGAAATGTTGCATAATAGGCAACTTCCCCAAGACCTCTTTGACGAACATCTTTTTCATGCCAGCCTCGACCTTTTGCCAACTCTTAGCGCCAGAGATATCGTCCAGCATGGGACTGTGCCAGCGCAGCCCCTTGACTGTCTTCACACTATCGACCCATCGAACCTGCTCCAGGTATATCCAGTCACCCCCTTCCTCGTCCAAGACGGCCTTGTTATGAATCCCCAGAGGCGTAATGTAGCGATGGCCGACTAGTTGCGCAGCGCCAAAGAGGAACGGCAAGAAATGATAGTCGTCCAGACCCCAGACGCCATGCGAGCCGGCAGGTTCAAGGTAATAGGTTGTCTGTATGCGGCGCAGGAGATGCATGTATCGAACAAACACTCGCAGTACTAAGATGGGGAAATCCTGCCGCTCGAGTAACTTTAGCTGGTACATGCAAAGCAGCCACATGACGAAATTCAACTCGTGGCCAGAGCCATAATCGAGGCGGCTGCGGGAACCAAGCGAGTGCACAAGATATGTCGACAGCTCGTCCACTGGCCCTGCAGTATCGGTATTTTCATTATCATCGTCATTTTCGTCCAAACCGATTATCCCCTGCTGCCACTGAGGGCTCTGTGCAGCCACATCATCGAAGAGCGAGCGGAAGGCGGGATTGCCAAATCGAGAACCATTCTGGTCGAGGGACGGGTTCCTCTCAACAAGTGTCTCTATATCTGCGAGTACGTCAAGGATTCTGGCGATGGTGGGGGATGAGGGTACATTTTCTATGGATGATACGGGCTTGCACCGGACACTGTCGGACAGATTGAAGATAAACGCGAGAAGCAGAGTGTATGTGGGAGAGGAGAGGAATGCTTCATGGTCCTCTCTGGACAGAACTCGGCGCACTGGATGTGTACAAAGAACAGATTTTCGGTTTGGCGGCTTTGGGAGATCGGGAGTGTCGGGAGGGGGTTCTTGGTTTGGCTGGGAGCCTCGTCGTCGACCTTTGCCTGCTGACATTATGAGTCTTTTCGAGAGATCTATCTTCGTAGTCGTGGGGGGGACCAGCTGCTTTTCAGTCGAGGATGCCATGGCTGCGGTGTACTCCTTTCCGAAGGCTGTTGTTCTCTGCAGGAACTCTCCACCGCCATCACTCGGTGGTTTCTATGAAGCTGAATTGCTGGAAGATGTGATGGGTGACTAAGCGCATCGACTGCTCCCTCATGGCCCGTGCACCGATCCTCATCGGCTCAGACTAAAGCAACACTAAATCCCATTGGGATTAGCGCGCTCACCATCTTTGTTTCTCGAATATCAACCCCAAATATTCGATGATGTTGCAAATGAGAATGCACTTCTTCGTAGGCATAGCTGAGTTGGGGTTATGAGGAGACTCTGTTCTATGGTTTTTACCTCTCGTCACCTCGTCATTCCCAGAATATGTCAATTTTTTTTTTTGGTTCGCCTTTGCCATTAATACAAGCCACAATACAATGACTGTAATGTGCAGCAGAAAATTTGCCACTTTTCAAACAAAACAAGAGGCTAGAGGTTAGAGCTTGAACACACAAGGACACACACACGTCTTTGAGAAAATCCCCTCACTGATACAGAGATTGTAGCTGAATGTATAATGTGGATCACACTCTTCAATTCAGTCTCCCCTTGAAACAATATCATCACTTACTTTGTGACCGTTTCCAGTATTCTGCAAAAGACACTGTAGTAGTACACTGTACGGAGTTAATTGAGATATTCAAATCTTTTTTTCAGAGAGAAGAACATGCACGCCGTAAGGTTGTTTACTCGAAATTCGTCATCTGCGTCTGCATTAGAGCAACGCCAAGCACGGGACCTCACCAATGACAGATGCTGCAGGGTTGGATCATCCGTGCAGAGCACAGCATCAACCAAGGCCAACGATCCTCGGGGTGGGATGGGGCAGAGATGGGGGCAGAAGAGGATCTCGCGTTCAAGCTTGCGGAAACGAATAAACTTAGTTGATAACCGGATCAGCTCCCCTAAGAAGTCAAATAAACAAGAACTCCGTTCGCCCTTCCCCGCTTTAAACAATCCGTTCAACTACCCACTTCTCTGTGCTGCGAACTATCGTATTTCATCGTATCTCGCGGAGTCACATCCACACCTATTAACTACCTTGCCCGGTGCACCAAAACAGTGAGATTATAGAGTAAATATATAAAACATACAGGGGAATAACGGGCTATGATGAAATTCTAGCGCGCCTCCGGAAAGCCCTCGCCCAGATGACATCCACCGTCCCCAAACACCACCGCAACGACACCGCAAACCAGAGGTCTCTAAAGGCCTCCAACTCAGCTTCCAGCACCTCGTCCAGTTCTCCGCATTCTAGCTCACTGGGGCGCCAACAAGCTCACTTCGCTACCGACGCGGTCACTTCCTCTGGTTCCGGTCCTGCTCCTACTCCTGCTCCTGCTCCTGCTCCTGCTCCTGCTCCCACCGAGGATACCCCCATAGCCACAGCGAACCGTGGCCGGACGGAGCGGAACTATCGCGCGACAGAAAATGGAACAGTAGATGATTACGTGGGAGATGCCTCACAGCAACCCACGCAGACACAGCACACGCAAAACCCGCAAAGGAAGCAGCCAACGCAGGCACGCGACCATACAGATGATACACGGGGATCCAACGATGGAGGAGCTGGAGCCCGAGCACGAGGAGCTATAGCACATACATACAAGCGGGTGGTGCAAAAATACAGCAGTCTCGAATTGGATAATAAGGGGAGTGTCGCGAGAGACCATCTAGCACTTGGTTCGTCTTGGCCATTTGTTTCTTCCGCCGCTTCCGGCCGCCAATATGTGGTGGTGCCGATTTATATGTCCCATACCTTATTCCCACTCCCACTTCCCATTTGCACATCCCCGTATACGTCCACTCCTGACATCTACATCGTATCTCCTAACAATTAACGTAACCCTCCAAACAGAACGAACCTTTCTCGCTTGGCTTCGCACCTCCCTCGCCTTCGCCTCCATCGGCATCGCAGTCACCCAACTCTTCCGCCTCAACGGCACAATCACAAATGCAAACGCCCACCTCTTCCCCCCCGTCTCCTCACAGCAACAACAAATTCAAGCATCCACTCTCACCAATCCTCTACTCTCACAGCAATATGTCCCCCTTCCCCCGGCTCCTCAGCCACTCCCCATAGAACTCCTCACAGAGCAGGTCACGCCAAAACCCGCGAACCAACCACAACCCCAACCCCAACCGCAATCGCAATCGCAATCTCAACCGCCATCCCAGAACCCAACAATCCTAACTTCCAACGAACTCCTCACCCAGATAAAAAACGGCAGGCGACTCCGCAGCCTCGGCAAGCCCCTGGGCGCTACATTCCTCTGCATCGCCATCATCGTGCTACTGATAGGGTTCCATCGATATTTCGAGGGTCAGTATTGGGTTATTCGTGGCAAGTTTCCCGCGAGTAGGGGCAGCATTGCGCTTGTGGCGTTTATTGCGGGCTCGTTGATGGTCAGTAGTCTTGTGGTTATTTTGATGATTTCGCAGGAGACGGTGGAGAAGTGATTTCCGTGTTGATGTTGATGAGATTGGAGGCGGGGGAGGGGGAGTGTGAGGGTGGTTTTGGGAAGTGTGAACATTGTGCATGTTTGGTGCATATAATACGTTCTATATGAGAATGGAATGGTGAGGATGTTTTGTTTATTGAAGTTATTCTTAATATATATATATATATATATATATATACGCTTCTTCTCCTGGTTCTTGCATGATGGCGGTTTCGATGGGAGACACTGGAATGACTTGAGTTTTTGGTTCTTGTTCTGAATCTTCCTAGCAGGGGGCTGCAATAAAGAATAATACCCCCCCCCTTTTGCCATTTAATTAAGAGCAAGGACATCAAAATATGTGACTTTTCGTTGATTCTAACTCCTGAGCATCCATTCTACCAAATGTATCGTAGCGATAATACTCACATGTATCTCCAGCAGCCAACGACAGAGTTGATTCCAACAATAGAAGCAAAGATTAAAAGTCCGTATCTTCAAATAATATGCAAAAAGTACTGCTAAAAAGCGTAACCCGTTGAAATGATGAAGTGGTTTGTTGTTATCGTGATGCTCTTGAGTGTAGCTTTGAGTGTGGTTTTCGATTTCATGACCAGTCCGATACCCTGGCCGTCGTCACAAATGTTAACTGCTTCGCTATTTTTCTTGCTCAAAAAGTTATTGTTGCTTTTTCAGTATGTAGTTATAAACCTAGCTAGATGGCCAATCATGAAGTAATTCAATAAATCAAAATATGGCAAGTGAGTTAGTTTCATGAAGGACGTGAGAAAACAACATGTGGAAAATTCACATGTGCATGAAGAAGAGAGCTGAGTTCACAAAACTAGATAGAAAAAATAATCAGTTGGTTCTATTCACTCTTCTCTTCTCTAGAAACTGAGGAAAGGAGATTAGTGGGAACATCTTCAGAGATTTCTGTTTACAAAGTGAATGCGGAAAGGATTCTTCCTTAGCACAAGTGACAACAAATGTAAGATGCAAAAGAGATGAGATTTAGAATTGAGACTTGACAAAATAAACATTTGAGAAAAGCTTATTCATATTGATGCAAGGTACAGCACCTAGGCACCCAGTAGTTCAGAGAAGAAAGAACAAAACAAGAAAAGGAGATGAAAAAGATCAAAGAAATGCTTGCTGTTTGGTTTTCTGTAGGTGTTGTTTTTATAATCAAAGGAAAAGGAGCTAAAAAAAAACAGAAAGGGTGGTTAAAAGGGAGCAACAGGAAAGCAAAAGAGAAAAGCTTCCGTTAAGTCAATAGTCCCATCCGTGATGTCGTTGTTGCCAGATATTTACGCCGCCAATCGAGCACAAAAAAAGTTAGAAAAAGAGATAAAAAGATAATAACGAAATTAGATAAGGAAAATACACCAGAAAGGGAGAAAAGAAATGAATAGAAACGAAGAAGCGAATATAAAAACGAAGAGAACGAAAACAAGGTTGGCAAAAATGATGTGCATAATCAGACAGATGGCTCTAGTAACTGTCAGACCTTTATAATGCTCGTAAAAAAACGATATAAAAGAAAGAAATCATGGAGACATTCTTGGATCCCCGGTTTATAGCGTGCGACCAGTTTATTTTAACAAGGTCGTTTGTTTCGCATTCTTTTCCCCCGCTTTCCCGCCAGCTTCCAAATATCGTTTCTCTTTTGATTTCCAGAAATGCATCAACCGGCTTATCCGATGATGTCCCTTTTTCTTAGTCTTCTCAACTTCATCACGAGGCGCTTTTTCCTCGTAACTCAGCTTGCTCTTCTCGCCGGCACTCCCACTTATAAGCTTGGAGAGACTGACGAGGCTGGATCGTTTGGCGCTGTTTGACCGGCTAGTTCTGCGCGAAGCAGGGATGGAGGTGGAGACTGACGAGGCCCGTTCGCCAGGGGCGCGGGCGTAGAAGCTTGATGATAACTGAGACATGGTACCCGTTGTGGTGGAGGCACTACTTATCAATGACGGGACGTCTTCGACTGAGTCATGGCGGTAGTCATGGCGATAATCGATTATATGGTCCATGCTGTAGCCGGAATGGAATGTATTGCGATCTGTCAGTGTGGAAGATGCTGTCAGGAGACGGGGAGCCTCGAGTGAGGTATTCGTGGAATTTGGAGATGGAAAATTACCGCTGGATACGGGGAGATCAGGTTCTGGAGTTCTGGACATTACGTAAACATATTCTGGTGAGGTGGAGGGACGTTTCTCTGGATAGATTGTGTGCTTTTCAGCAGGGGAAGGCCAATCATCGGTTTCGAAAATCTCGATATCATCAGAACGATAATGGTTCTGTGAATGGCCGGATATCCCAATCGCATCTGTGAATGGGATGATGGGAGATTCCACAGCCCGCGAGGTCCCTGGGCCACTGCTAGCTGTTTGATTGGAAATGTCACCAACCGCAGCTGGGGACTCCTCGGAATCAATCACCTGGATACCCAGCCCAGGTTCCTGTGAGTTACTACTATTGTTCGAATGCACACTAGGAACCGTTACAGACAAATCTCCCCCCCAAAAAAAAGGTTTTGTTTCATCGTTTGAGGCCACAGGTGTAGATGGCTGAGATGGGGGATCATCATTTCCAGCCAAGAATGCGTCTTCCTCCTCCTCATAGAAAACGTCAGGGTTCGTAAGGGTCGAGGTTCCTCCAAATCTTGCAAGCCCAAGTGAACTACGGTCAAATGGAGGCATTTCCGGAGCACTTTCGGCGCGACGATGATATCGCATTTCAGGTCCAATGAATTCACCTCTCCGGCCACCACTATACATTCGTTTTGTGGCAGTTGAAAATCCACATCCAATCTTACGGTCGGATCCCATTTCCGGGGTATTAAAGGGCCCAAGAGCGGCATCTAAATCTATTACAGGACTGAGCATATCTGAATCAGTTCCTTGCTCGTAAAAGCTCCTTGGTTTCCAGGAGGATTCCAGTGAAAATTTGCCTTGAGAAGATTCAATAGATTCTGTCTGTCGCGGGGCATCAGGTAGCGTTGGTGTCCGTAAAACAACCACATTGTCATCGTCAAAATTGATTTCGGCCATCGATCCAATTTCAGAGCTTGTTCGTGTAAGAATTGGAGGCGGAGTAGGAGCTCTCTTGGAATGTGGCTTCTTCGAGTTCGAACGCTTCTTTGCTTTTCGCGTCAGAATACCAGCCCAAGAACGTACCTTTTTCTGTTTCTTGCTTGATTTCCTATCTGGAGAAATTCGTGGTCGATCTGAGCTACATGTAGTTGGCTCAAGTTCAGGAAATGGAGTAAAATCATCCTTTGGCATGGCCTTGCTACTGGATTGGCTGTAAGCTTCAATAATGTTTTTCTTGAGAGGGGGAAGTTCTGGCACATGGTCATAAGATAATGGTTTATTTAATCCAGCGACGGAAGCGGAGGCAGAAAGTGGTCGCTTTTGTGGTGGACTTCCATCTGCCGACTTTGAGTTTTCGGGTTTCTTATCAAATAAAGTTCCAGCAGTTTTAGGACGAGTTGGTGACGCACCGGTCGTTAGGGTGTTAGCAGTGGAGGACAGAGTGCTTCCATTGGCGTACTGACGAATAGTTGGCATGCTGACATCTGACGGGATGGTCGAGAGTGGACGATGTGTACGGGGAGATAATTTTGGCATTTGGGTTGGAGAATGAGAACTCGAATCCGGACTGGATAGCCTGAAACCAGGGGAGATGGGAGGTGAGTGAGTGGTAGGTTTAGAGAACGAACGAGAGGTGGGTCTTGCTGCTTCCTCATTCGACACACATTGTTGTTTGAGATCCGCAGGAGTTACCGGTGCACTCCCGACCACTGGCATTGGAGGAAATGCCTTGGTAACTGCGGATAAATCCATACTTGAAATCGCAGCGGATCGGCGATGGGAGTGCCCACGTCTCCCAGAACCAGGACCACTGAGTCCTGGCCCTGGAGGAGGAAGAGATGGCAGCATTGGAAACACGTTGCCTTCCGACATTGGAGGCCCCAATGTCGGCACACTCTGGCTGCCATTGAATTCACTTGGCCGTCGACGATGGCCAACGGGACGTGAATGTGGCATAGTTGGTAGCGATGGAACAGTAGAAGCAGTGGGATCGGGTGCCTGTGGAAATGAAAACGCAGGAAGCGGAGCAAGGAGAGAATGACGAGAGGTAGCTTTTGAAGGAGGAGGATCGCGTTGGGGGAAAATGAAAGGCGGGTTAGGCATTGGAGCTGTTGTTGACAGTCGCAAGTGGTTCTGGCATTCGTACGAAGACCGTGAAGAGTCCTGAGGCAACGGCTGAGCCTGAACGGTTGAAAGTGATATGGAAGCCATGATGATGTGGTTGATGACGATAAATATTACCACTTGGTGAGGCAGGGATTGTCCAGGCGGGTCGCAATGGTCGCTTTCTTGATTTACTAAAACAACTTCATCCGCTCAGCAGAATGGCTGTAGGAGAAGACAATTGCGAAACTCCTCCCAACCAATACCCGGTGCAACGTAACCCCTACTTGCAGTCAACCCAGCCGTTACTCACTCCAAATATACATCGGACCCCTCTCCAGCGGAGGCGTCTTCGCAGGATAGGAAAACAGATACGGGAAATAACTTGGGATACCGAACAAAACTGTCGACATCCAGCAGTAGTAGTGCGGTGTTTAAAACTGGTCAATTCATTAAAAGGCTGTCGTCATAAGCTGAAGTTGATAGGATCTTGGGGGGGGGAGGGGAAGGGTAAGGAGCGGACGGCCACTACAAAACGGCCAAGGAAAATGATAAGGCTACGAAAGGAGTGTGGAATGGTAGACATAGAGAAACAATAAAGAAATGAAGGAACAGAAGGAAACGGGAGGGGAAAGTAAAAGGAGGAGTTGGGGGATGGAGGGTGAGGGGGGTGAGGGGGGTGAGGGGGTGGAGGGAGTGAAGACAGAGGGAGAGGAGGGGAGAGGGAGAGGAGGAGGAGGAGGATGGGATGATGAGGTTGAAGAGCTGAAGGAGTTGGCGGAGAAGACAGCGAATTGCGAAGGATGAAAGAGTCGGCTGAGCGAAAAGGGAAACGACGCGGCCAAGAGTCCAAGACGACCAACAAAAACAACAGCAGCAGGAGCGCCCGGGCAAGATGGCAGGTGGGGCAAGCTCTAAATTGCAGGGTCAGTAAAGGCTGCTGATTGGCTGGAGGAGCCCCTGCAGCTACGTGAATTAGAGCCACCGGTATTATTACGGGCATATTACCAGGCACAAAGTTTGCAAGTTCGTGGCTTTTCGCAGTGTCCAGGGGCTTGCACACACATCCGAATACCGACTGCCAGGTCTTGGGCATCTCACGACACTCTCAGATTTGCAATTTGACTGTGTGGAAATTGAGAGCTACGGACAACGGTAGTTTGTTATTACTCCCTGGACACAAGCCACCCGAGTTTGTGAGATTTTTTTTTTTTTTGCAATACGACTAGTTGTTTCCTTGGCCTCTTCATCTTGAAATTTCTCCTGCCTGATTATTCGAACTTTCGACGTTGCGAGACGTGCCTGGAACACGACTCTGCACATCATCATCATCATCATCATCATCATCATCAGAGATTCTACGCTCTCCAATTGCTTTGCATCTACGGCTTGAACTGCGTTGACCAAAAATTTTGTTTGTCAAGATACGGGGTAATAAAAATGACAGAATCTCGCAGTCTCCACTCAACTCCACAATTGTCATGGCAGATTAACATGCTCATACCGCGGAAATGCTCCAGTCTTTCAGGTGGATATGATGGAGAAACAACCAGCGATAATCTCTTACAGATTAATTAATTCCTGGGACTGTACCAAGGTAGCCAGAAATTGTCAAATGAAGTAATGGGGCAACTGCTCATCTCTTCCCCAATGTTTGAGCCATCTTAATCATACACAGCGGGTGGGATCGACTTCCGGAATATCAAACCGGTCAATCAGCGAAGCAATATGATTCCTAGGCACCTAGGCACCTCGTCAATAGTTCGATTTGCCAGCTCGTCAAATATCGCTTGTTTCAGCATCTCATCTATTAAAGCCTTCGCTCATCAAACGCCCCCCTTTCTCCTCTTCTCAATGATGGGTAAATTGTTGGTCACCAGCATCCATCATTCAATTCCATGGCCCAATAAACCAATTTTAATTACCTCTGAAAAAAGCAAATTGGCTCATCTAACTTTAATCACATCTAAAAAACCATGAACATCAAACCACAAAACGTCTCTCAACATGAATTCTTTTCTCCGCGCAGACATCATGACATCTCTTTTGAGTCTTTCCTAAAAAGTTACCGAATGGTGCGCTGTTTATCCAGGTTACATGTTGCCACCCCCCCCCCCCCCCCCCCTGACTATGTGCTCTGGCTCTAAACGCTGCCAATAACTATGTACTGCCGCTCGTTTCTCTGAACCTATTTGAGGCATCCATTAGTGACAAGACTTGGTCGTGGCAGGGACTCAGTTTTCTTGGCTGCATACTTTTATACGAAAGAAGATGATCTATAGCACTGGGAGTGGCAGGTTGGCAGCACACCCTCCGTGAGGCACGGAGGCCTCATGATAAAGTTAACTAGCTCTTGAACTGGCGTTTTTTCCCTTTCACCAAAGGAAGTTATTACTCCGTAGAGAGGCAAAGTGTGTATATATCCAATGTCTAATTTTAGTATCCTTAGCATCTAAAGTTATAGGTTAAGCAAATATTTATATCTGTTGTCGATGTTTAACTACGCAACTGTATGTAGTGCATATACATATATGTACTTAGGTACGATGCAGACCTACATATATGTGCAGGGCGCTATGCAATACAGATGTTTGTGAAATGGGCAAATTTGACACAAAGTAGAAGAGAGCTCTCAATGTAAATTTTTGATGAAGAATATCATGTTCGTACGTTCGTTCAGGCTAGCTACGCTCTATGCGGGCTATCTCGATCACGTGCAGCAGGCGGAGCGCAACAACCGGTCAGGGCTGGCTAACATTTGATGCCATATGGGGTCATAAGGGTCATGTTATCTCTTCTCGGGTTTTCATCACATAATAGTTTGTAGAAGCAATTTGCTTAATAGCTCAAACGGTTGTAATTTAGATTGAATTGACAAGTTCTTTAGCTTGCTTTTTACTCATCAATAAAATTACTACTCTTAATTATTCTTAACTATTTTGAACTTCGCACACTATAACTACCCATCTAATGTCAAAAATAATTTATTATAAATATAAAAAGGAAAATTCAGTTACAAACTGATGTTATAGTTCCTGAGTTACAAATTAGTCAGGTCTTGTTTAATTAATAATTTCAGGTTATATTAAAAATTTTAAAATTTACTTTCTTGGCACTTGTATTATTAGTTAACCTTTGATTTGGAAAAAAATAAAAAATAAATTATGTTCATGAAATTTTCAAAGATATTTTATGTTTTTGAACAATTTTTAAGATCTTTATCAGGATTCAAGATAAAATAAAATTACGGAGTATAATTATATTATTAGAAAGAAGTTAATATTAAATATAAAATTCTAATGTTATTCTTTTTATAAACTCAGTTATCTAGAAGATTCATCTCATAGTGAAAAGTATATTCGGCAGTAAAAGAGCCATAGACATTTTGCATTTCTTTCTCCCAAATAATAAGTGAAAAGCATTTTCAATCATCAGTTGAAAACCATGACCTTTCTACCTAATCTCTGAATAAGTGCATTGAAACATCTCATGTTCTTTACCTCGAATCATGGCAGTCATCATATGAATATTCCCCTATCCACACATGCTGAGAGGCGGAATTTTCCAACCGGGTATAATGTGTCTTGGTATATGAGACATGCAATCCAATGAGTCTATATATTTCTGCATTTATCTGCATGTGCTTTTCCTGCGGCTGTACATGCACATTCACCAAATACTGAGGATATCTTTAAAGTTGTTTCAAGCTCTTCATTCCTGCAATATGTAGGGCTTTAATAGCCTGGTCCTCTCCGAAAAAGCAGTTTGTGTCGCAAAATATATATCTTCTCCCTTGAAGAACCATTGAAACAGGTTCTTGAATACTTCGTATATATGCATGTAGATCTACACACTTGTGCAATCTTGCCGTGTCGGAGTTTGAAGACTTCAGACTAAGAAACGCAAAATAATAAACAAAACAATGCAAGGGCAGGCAACGGTGTAAAGAACCATTTTATGTTTAGTCTTAGCCATGGAGACAAGCGGATCGGCTATCGGGAACTCACAGCAAGGAGATGAAACCGAATGGCAGAGGTTTTTGAAACGGTAGTAAGGACACGCTGTGAGACAGACCTCGGCAGGGGCTAATGAGCGGGATTTGTAGATATTTTTGCGAGTTCATGTCAAGATACTAATAGTTTTCTTTATTAAGCTTTTGATTGAGATATACAGATTTGGCTAAATCGTTCACATGACATCTCGCAGCAATAAAGTCACGGCGGAAATGACGATGGAAGGGTTACTCATTTCTCTCCTGAACAGCAAGATGGATTGCAATTATTTAATTTCAGATAGCGTTGGCGATCATGGACATTTCGAGATGAACTAGGACAGAAAATGCTGATGGCTGAGTCTGCGTCCAATAGCCCTTGAGAAACGTCCTTCAAACAAACTAAGCGTAACCCTGGAGGCTGATGGTTCATCAATCCTTGATTCCAGTTTTTCTCAGATCAACGGCTGTGAAATAATAAAAACCCCAATTTATCGGAGCGTGTGGACGATGTGTTGAATAAGTCCTCCCTCCGTACAAATCTCTTTCAACCATTCCATGCTCTCCACCTGTCAAAGTCATTGGTTCTCTTATCAGGGCTTTGTCAGTGGTGCGTTTCTGCCGTCCGGCTGCCTTTGGCTCTGGAGAGTTATCAAGCCACTCATCACTTCAGACAACAGGGGAAATATGCATATGAGTCTATCCATCTGTAGGTTGTTGTAGTACCAGACTGCCAAGTGTTGCCTTAGCGGTGGCTGAAAGCCGAGGAGATATATTTTCCTGGGAACCAGCTGCACAGCATGCTTGATAAAAGCAACCAAGATGGTTTTATGATGGTAATAATACAACATCAGGGGAGGAGAAGGTGACATCCATGGATGAAACTTGTCCTGGTGTATAATAGTAGGGTATGTGTTGTGCAAATCGCCTAACGGGTCAACTCGGCCACTGCAAGCTGCAAACCATGGCTGGATCTTCAGCCTGAAGCCACTGCATGACAACGTGATCGAATTTTGAACATTCCATCCCCGAGATGTGGGTTCCAAGAGGCTGGATGATGGGATTGCATATCCCGAAAGAATATTGTGATCTCAAACCACGGTTCCACCTCGTTGTTCCCTGTGCATTATTTACATACAATGGTCTCGAATTCGGCTCAACTGTCTTACAACTTACCTGATCATCTCTTTCGCCTCGCTCCTTAACGGGACGTTTCTTTTTAATTCCCAACCCCACCTGTTAACTATATGGTGTCAGATGTCAAATTTCATTGTACAGATCCTTTTGGCACTAGTTCCCGAGCCATTGAATTTGATCTCTGCTTTTCACAGAGCAAATTTTTAGGATCATTCCCTTGTTGACTGGCTGTGCGATTGTCAGCGATCCACCATGCTCAATCGTACTCCGTGCAACCTGTTTCTGAAGCCATGCTCCGATCTGTGCCACGTGGACTTTGAATCTCAGTGTCTGTTCCCCTGGTGTGTACTCAAGAAAAGGATTTATTATCCCGGTTGAGTGAGTAAAGCAGAGGTGGTTGAGCACTTCTGCCCGTTGAGTTTTACTGGAGCATACAGCTTCTATAGGCTACTGAAGTCTCTGACTTTAAATGGAGAGATGTGGATCTCCTTCCCACATCTGTGCTGTTGTGTTACTTCACTCCGTGATGATCAAGAGAGAGCTGACACTCAAAGCTGGCATTTAAGTGAGCCCAGGGCGCTGCTTGGCTGGAAACTGCGTGCAGCCGTTCAGGGCACCCACTACTTTGGCTGTTACTAATTACAAACTCGTCCTCTGTTGGCGTCTCACACGAGATTCTGGATTGCATTTATACGTATATGTGACAGGCTACATAATCCTGCTTTTGATGCTGAGAGTAGGAGACATAAACCCTTGTCTCCAATAAAAGCCTGAAGGGGTTCATATTAGCTGCGGAAACATGCCCATGATTGCAGATGCTTGTTAACTGACAGCATTTAATCCAGCAAGGGAAATGCGTTCAACACGTGGAAATAGTCAAGATGCTGGATAGAAAAACATGAAAAGCAATGAATTTAAAAACATGAATTGCAGGAATAAGAGTAACAGAAGAAAGTGAGCTGAGAAGTCACTGCGCCCTCCATATTCGCTTCTTCCACGCTCAACATTTAGCCGGGAGTGCCTTCGTCGTGGTGGCAGTTTTGGCCAGTTTAACCTCCGCCTTGCGTCTGCGAACAGGCCCACCAATATTCTACCAACAACCTTTCTCCACTTTGGGAACTCTTGAGCAATTGCTACGTTTGGGTTTTCACCCTTGTTGAGTCGTTTGATTACGGTGGAGGACTTCATGGGGTCAGGTCCGACATTGTCTGCCCACGAGACAAGGGCACCATACTGATTGGCATTGAGCTTAACAGCAGCCTTAGTTGACAAGGTGATAGCATTCTGGAAGCTATATTTGATAAGCAATTTAAAAAGGAGAAGTTGACTGTTAGTTCCGTGGCCTTTCATGATGTCTGGACAGAGTTGATATAGCAATGGTATGAACACACCTTGAGGTCTTTCTTCACCAAGACCGTCGCGGTCATTTTGGTCAGAGGGAATTTGACCTTTTGAAATCCTTGGTCTTGCAGAGATGGCCATATCCAACAGTTGGAGCCCAATCGGTTCTGGCGCTTATTTGGGGATGAAGCCCTCAAATTCCTTGATTAAGGAGATGGTAGCCGTGTTGACATTTGGGGCCGGTACATTGTTTGGTGTCTAGAGTTGAGGCCCTAGTGTGGAAGGGAGGACAGAGAGAGGTAGCGAAGAGAACGGAGAAGGGCATTGTGAAGAGCACCTGGGTGGCTATCTTTCCCCTTGCATAAGATATTGGACCTGAAAGAAGTGAATGAAAGTTTGAAACTGACAACTAATTCATAGTTATTCCATAGCACGTCTGGGAGATCGATGGCATCTCGAGTCTTTTATCTTCCCTACATTCTCAACTCGCCATCCCTATATCTTCTTAGTTTGCTGAACTGTTAATCTTCAAGGACTCGATCATCCTGATGCTTGCCGCAAGTTTTTTTTCGTTACCATTTTGCGACAGAACTCGCCGTATGCCAGGTACCAATGTCTACATGTTGATTTTCATATTTCCTGTCGTACTCAGGGATTCCACTAAGATAGGCGCGGCAGCTTTGGATTCGCCTCTCCGGACTGCTTTTATTGGGCCCATTGCGGTTTTATCGGATCCAATGGTGTCAATGAGCATTTCCTTCTCGACATTTTTGGCCCGTCTTCGGTATTTCGGCTCACGAGAAATTGAGTGTGAGCATTGTGGGTCAGTACCTTTGCATCTTCAGTCCGGACTCCAGTGGTTAACAACGCCTTCGAAGGGGGTGGAGTAAGAACGCCTTGACTGTTTTTGGCCCGTGTTTGAACTTGTCCCTGCTATGGATATCCACATGTGGCAATGGCCCGGCTTATGCATCCCATTTCCTGTCCTTTAGAATATTTGCTTAGCTCTGAGTGCATTCCTATTGGTCTGCGGCTCTATCAACGTTGGGATATCTTCTTCCTTCACTTTTGAAGCAGAGCGTCGACAAAGCACGGCAGAGCATGGTTTCACTTTTAGCTCTGTAACTGCTGGAATGAAGTGTGTGATTCTTTACACAGACCAGACCCGGCAAGCCTATGAATACCACCGTCTAGATGAGAAAGGAAGAGTAACTGCAGAGGTAAGATTGGGTGATTGTGGGAAGTTACTCCGATGCTCTGAAAGAAGCTTTCTCCTTTTGTACCGAGCAAGTAAGAGCTTAACCCACACGGCAGTTAGCCGGGTAGGTGTGGGGATTTTCACTACTGAGCTAAAAGAATTACAACTGTCAAGTAGAGAGGTGCAGATCAAGGATATCAAGATCGGTTTAGAGTAATCAAAGGCAAGTAATCTCAAATATTGCGTCATTTAAAGGCATGGGTGGGTGTGGCTTCATTCCACCAAGCCCACACATGGTGGAGATGGCCGCTTGAAGGCATATCTTATGTGAAATGATTCATCGGTCTATCGTATATTTTTGTGTGTGACCTTCTTTCTCTGGGTTGATATTCGTGATTCTGGTAGAAATAGTAATTCCAAGCAAGTGACTTCTCGCCCAGGGTGGGCTTAGGCATTACCCCTGATTACTGTTAACTTGCACGAGGCTTGCGCCATCACTAGTTTCCGACTTCCAAATATCCAAATGCCGACTTACTTAGTTAGAGCACTGACTGAGAAAATATGGGATTACTTATTTCCGCTGCACCTCAACTTGTGACATCATAGCCGGCCTCTGTTTTGTCCTTTGCTCGAGTCGATAGGACTTTTTCGTGTGCCTTGGGTGAGAAATGAAGAAAAAATAAAAGATCGTAATGGATGCATTCCTAATAACTCTGATCTTGACATAACATTGCGTGTTTTCCCTTTCGTACACATCCGTTCTTCTTTAGACCTCTGTAGTTTCTTAGCCTTGGAACTCGTGACTTCGAACCCTCATACTCTAACTCGGCTGTTCACAGTCTAGCACTAATTTCCTTCGACAGCGGACGCTCTGGCCTGACTCTCCAACTCCTTCACATGCTCTTCGATCTTTTTATTTTGGAAGGAAAACGAGGCAGGATACAGAATCGGTCGTTGATCGTGTCTGTTAAGAGGTGTAAGCTTTAGCTCACTCCCTGGAATAGATACAATTATGATGCGGACGATGGATGTGAAGAAACCTACCGGTTATCATCACAACTATAGCTCTCGGCGTGATAGCTTGGCGTAAGGATGACCTAATGGTGCCTATGTTAATGGTTTTCATCTGTATTCTTCATCGAAGGAGGAACAAAACAAACCTGCTTATGGCGATTCACAGCCTATTGGATATATTAGCCCAGCATGCCCTGGAAATCAATCTAGGCTAATAGTTTCTTACATAATAATAGAAAAACCTGCGGACTTTCTCGTAGATCTCGCGAGGTGTATGCTGCTCAGGCCACATATGTAGAAGCTTCTCATACATTCCAAACGGCCCACATTTGCTTATTTTGCGCAAACGACCAAATACGGAGAGCTCCGTATAAGTCATCCCCATTTGGTCCTCGTCGGATCTGGGTTATCAACTCAGCAGGTATCAATGAGTCAAGAGGATTGGGGGAACTGCTTACTGGGTGTAACTCTCAGTTATAGGTTCCAACTGAAGCTGTCAGACTTTGAATTTGTCATTGCCTTGAGATGGTGAAGGGAAGAGGATATATACTTCTGCAGTTGGAATGGCATGCACAAAGCTTTCGATGATAGGTAAATCAAAGTTTACTTTCGCCCACAGTAGGAAGTCGATTAAGTCGCGTTTATCAATCGACCCAATTGGATTCAGATCGGCACTCGAACAGTCATATTCTTTTACTACCAGTAAATATTAAATATCTTCAGTTAGGGGGTTGGGTCTTACTGGTAAGATATCCTCTAAGTCTACAAGTAGTTAGAACCTGATTGAGAAAAGGGCATTATCAAGCAGGTGATACGAACTGTTCCGATAGATTTCCTAAAAAATAGTCAATCGGTCAGTGATGTGCATTAAATGTTGCAGGATGTACAGTACCGGATGCAAGAACTAGAAGAGAGCCTCCTCCTGGTCTCTGTCGCACAAGGGGAAGAAGTTGAGCAAACATGTAACCAACAACAAGTCGGGAACGCGCTTGAATGTCTACAAGACTGGTTAGAGAAGACCTATATATGTGGTTGAATTTGATGGCGTACTCTGAAGGGCGAGATTTTCGGATTGTGTACCGCCGTGGACAGAGAAACGGGGGGTAAAATTAGTAACAAAACTGAATAAGTTCGATATTGCTGAGACGACAGAGTCTATGTCAAGGTCAATGTGATAGCTCCCAATACACCTGGCTAGTTCTTTCGCCCTATATCTTGTTTCTTTGCTTGAATTCGTGGTGCCCATATAGCATGTATGAAGGATTCTGCCACAGAGATCTTGGGGGGTTTCTGGCAGCCATTTTGAATCAGGTGGTTCTCCAACGACCCTACGCATATCCGTAATTACATCTTCATTTCCGTGATGGCACGCAGCAACTACCAGACGACACATCGAAAACGTAATTACAGCAACCGATGCACTGTCTAGCCCTCCAGATAGCGGAAGGCTGTGAACTTTAGTTAGTCAAAAGTGGATATATACTACAGATAGTGATATCTTACAAGAAACCAGATTGCCTACTGCGCCTCAGATAATCCCAAAGCCAGCATGCAGGGCCCAAGGCAATTTCTTCCTCCGGAGTATGGAAATTCAATTCGATGTCAGGAGAGGGTTTGATACTTGGGTTAAACGCGTCCGACTTCTTCGACAAAGAGATTTGGGCCTCGATTCGCTGGTAGACGGGTGCTTGACTGGCCTGGACGCTTCGGCTAACTGACGTACGAAAGCTGCGAACTTCTTCGCTGTTATATTTGTCAGTTGGTGGGAGGGAAAATAGCCGTTTGGTCGCTGCACTAACAGGTCAACAACTGCCGTCACGACATCCACATCTTTCAGCGAGAACTGAGAGCTCATTCCAACCACACGCCCGTTGACGAAGATACCTGCTGAGCCGTCAAAATAGAGACGTCCATTTCCATCTTCTCCTCTCTGATTTGCGTACAAATAGATACCACCGCCTCTGGTACAGTGACGGATAAGTTCGATCCGTTGTTTCAGTTTTCTGAGTTCATGGTGCTGAAACTACGTTAGCAAAAATAAGGAAATGGGGCGGTCAAAACTAACGCTTCCACTTGAGTTCGTAAAGATTTCTACCCCATTGAGTCCCATATGAATACCTGGATTACTTGGGGTGAAGAGCTCCTCACATGCTTCTATCCCAATGGTTGAGTCATAGGTACTTATGACCGCGTCACCAATTGGCACAGTTGCCTGGCCAGTAATGTTGCCCACAATTCTTTCAAGATGATACTCCTCTACATGTCTCGGTTTTGCCCAGGGAGTAAACCATCTGTATTCGTAATAATTGGCATCTGCGTATTTTTAGCGTCAGAACAATCTCGGGAACTGTTCACCAGATCTCCTACCTCCGGCGAGCCACATCTTCGGTTTGATCAGAAGTATCTTCCGATTCAATATATGTATTCTCGCATTGTAGCGAATCTGGAAGTTATGAGAATGCCACACAGTTATCTCATACGTTGAAGGGGACACATACATTGCGATGCCGCACCTTATACGCGTCAGACTATGAAAAACGGTTAACGTATAAGGTTCATGACATTGCGGGACATACAGGAGCACCAATATCAATGAGAATATCTTGACAATCGGGATGGTCGACGATGGTCGCAATGCATTGCCACACATGCAAATAGAGATCCCCTTCCAAAAAATGGTCTTGGCACGAGTAGCCAGTTATTTCAAGTTCAGGCCCTACGCGAAGCCTATGATATTGTCAGTAGGGAGTCCCGAAGAGGGCAATAATATATTTCAGACTTAGCCCCTGCGGCTTTTGCGATGCGGATACTCTCGATGATGCGAGTGGTATTTCCTTCGAAATCCAGCACCCACTGGTTGAGGGAACTAGATCCCAGTTAGTATTTCCAATTCCGAGACGAAGGAGATACAGGACCTACCAAGTAGCTACTGTTACGAGAGGAGCCATTTCTATATATGCTGCACTGATCTAGCTCAGGCAGTGCTGAAGAGCGACATTCCGCTTCTCAACTCCTGCAGGGTTGAATGCTTTGGCTTTCCAAGGTCATGTGATTTCACTAGCTCGAAGTCTTTTGTTCGCGAAAGACCCGCAAAGCAACTAATTATCCGGAACGATCAACTGCAAAAATCTTATAGTAACTGCAACTTTGGGCTTCAACGATGGAATAAATTGTGCATTGCTATATAGGAGAAATTTCTGAAGGACAGTATAGAAAAGATGCCTCCAGTAAATCAACAAGGAAAGGATCGACCTAGGCCCAAGGCAAAGAGCAGCGGTAAATCCAAAAGCACGACCAAGAGGACAAACAATATTGAGAGCACCAAAAGCAATGGGAAGGCCATGAGCAAACATGGTGTTGCGCCAGGAAACACCTCCATTTCTATTGCTAAAAATAATGAAACGGTACTAGGAGCGATGCTTCTGCCAATTCCACTCCAGCAGCTGCTTCTGAACGTTTTTCAGTCAGGCCTTCTCTCTGATAAAGCTTCTGCAACAGAGCCCTTGTCACGACCTTTATCAGAACTGGTCCAGATACTGAAGACCCATCTGTATCGGCGGGACTTTTTGTCTGCATTTGCTGATGCAAATGAGGAGTTGCTGAAAGCATACGCCCTGCGGTGGAGTGCCGGAAGAGCTTTAGCCTATGCGGGCATATTTGCATCTGTATGCGAAATGATCATTCAGCATCGTACCACAGTCGCAGGAACTATTAAAACCGGGAGTCATGTTGTTTGCATTGGAGGAGGTGCGGGAGCAGAGATTGTGGGATTGGCGGCAGTGTGGAGATGGCTTCATGATGGGAAGAAATCCAGTGCTGAAGATTCCGTTAGCCTGAATAGCGAAGAGAAAGTTGTTTCAATAAACGATGCCTTGGACGATTTGTCATTACGAAACGAAACACAGCTGGGGAATAATCCAAACGCTCGCCAATCTGAGGATGATCTAGCTAGTGGTAATCGTGACACACCTTCCGCCCAGCGGCCATTCTCAAAGCTGTCGATCACCGCTGTGGATATTGCAGACTGGTCTTCCCTTGTTTGCAGTTTGAATAAATCAATCTTGTCAGAGTCAATACCAGCTTCGAAGGTTTGTCCTGCGCCACTGGTTCCTTTCCAAAGTACAGGGAGCCGAGTCGATTGTGGATTTCGCGTCTTCTTTAAGAAAGAAGACGTATTAAACTTGACGGATCAAGAGCTAAATTCTTTGTTGGTCCCGCCTGGGGTTGATATGAATGGCAAGACTGGCTATAAGAAGTTGGCTACGAAACGAAACACAACTGTCCTAGTTACTCTGATGTTCACGTTAAACGAACTTTTCTCCACCTCGATACCCAAAACAACAGCGTTCTTGCTTCAGTTAACCGATATGCTCCACTTTGGGACGATACTTCTCATTGTTGATAGCCCTGGAAGTTATTCAACTGTTACTCTGGGCGGTAGCATGGATCATTCTACGGAGTCATCAAACCTCGATTCTCCCTGTTCCTCCCAGCAAGAAAGCTCAACCAATCAAGATATCCACAAAGAATATCCAGAAGGGTCAGCAATTACAAAGCAGCAGAGAAACTATCCAATGCGGTTTCTCCTCAACCATGCGCTGCTTTCCGTCGCTGTTGGCAAATGGGAATGTATTGTATCAGACGATTCTAGATGGTTTCGAAGGGACACGTCTAGACTTAGATATCAAGTCGGGGATGGAATTGGCTTGGAGGATATGAGATTCCAAATCCATGCCTACCGACGGCTGATGGACTAATGATAGTTACGGGTTGTGCGCAGGGTTCATTATTTCAAGTACCGAATCGAAATAGACCGAATTACCTGGAAGATGTCGGAAATAGGAACTTATGTCAGTGATGAAGGGCATGAATTTGAATCTCGGAAACTATTCACAACTGCCTCGGAAATGAGAAAGTGACGATGACTAAAATCGGTTGTTTTGAAATGAAACACAACTGCAAAGAAAATAACGCCAAATTCTGTATCGCTCTTTAAAAAGGGAGATAGTCATCATTGACATCGTCATCGCCACCATCATTGCCATCACACTCTCTATCAAGTCATTTCCATCTAGCAGCTAAAGATGTTGGCAACGCGTGCTGTTTGATCCTTTGACACATTTGATCAAGCTCTCAAATACCCTTGCCAGTTGTATGAGAACGTTTCATTCTCCTTTTCCCAATCGTCGATATCCTTCCTCACTCACTTCTTTAATTTGGATGCGGTTTTGGTTGAATACCCCGTCATTATGATAAGCAATGACAAATATTTGGGATCTGACGAACCCATAATCGTGTGTGAAACTTCATCCATATCGATTTGTTTTCTGGATTCGCCAAGGTCGACGAGGTCTTTCTTGCTTGTCGGTGTTTTTTCTTCGCGCTGTTGTAGCATACTTTTAGACTTATCATCTAGCTAGCAATCAACTTCGAAGTGAACGAGGAAATTTAGCCCACCAAATTCATTGCGAATGACGCGTTGGTTTGTCGCCGAGCCTTTGACGCTTTTATCCCAGTCCGTATATATTTCTGGGAACGTGTGTCCATACCCGTACACACCTCGAATGAGTTCTTTGGGTGAACGCTCCTTCTGGACCAAGAAAATAGTGTCCCCGGTCGAACGGCGAAACAATAGAAATCTCACGATATCGATGACGCGAATTGAGAAGATTACCCAGAGTTCCGGTCCAGGTTACGATTTTGATTGCTTTCTCCTCAAGTTTGGGTTATGATCGAATACTGCTCTGATCGTGGCCGTCTTGCAGCGTTTGGCTACGTATTCGCCAGAGTCCCTTTTGAGTTGCAAGCTCATTTGAAACGGTGTCCACTTCGCAGGTACCCTGAAAACAATTCAACATACCGAAGTTAATAGGTAAACGATCAGATTGGGGGAAGTGAAAACCTGGAACTAGAATCGTTGGCACTTCTCTACACAACCAATTATACGAGCCAACTAATTCTCATTTTGTGACACACCTCCCCTCGGGGAGGGTGTCAACGGTTATTGCGGCCACTAATGTGCCAACAGATGGTCCTAGAGGACGCTGCTGTTCGACTGCATACCTTGATACCCCATCTCTCCGAGGTTTACTTCTCCAGGTTCCTCCTTGAGAGGCAATCCTGACAGCCTCATAGGTTTTAGCAGCACCTCTCGCGACTGATGTTATTCCAATTTCTCTTCCGCGTTTGGCCTCCTCCCAGTTGGAGTTTCTCGAAGAGCCTGTCATCTTCGTGTTGAAATCCCAGAGGAGATGCGAATCTACCTGGGTAGGCTCCTATTTGTTTGAATGAGGAAAAGGTGGCCAGCTTTGGAGAGCATCCGAGATGCCCTTCTTATTCCTTTATCATGGGATGAGTGAAACTACCATATTCTCCAAGCACATTGTACCCGAGCACACAAAACGTTAAAGTTTTGTGGGATATCTTTGTCAAAATTGCACTGCGGACCAAAAAACTCATCCTTGCTGCATTTGGGTCCCTATTGTTGCATCGTGAAGGCCTCAAGACATTTTCTTGGAAGTAGGGTTGTCTGGGTGTCTAGCAGCTGAATGCATAGTTAGCACAGTCTCAGCTGTTCATGTCTGACTTTTATTGATCAGCTTTCAAGTTCATTCGCTCTATATGAGTATTTACATTGTCAAGCACAGTCAATCATTGACTGAATCTTACTATATCTTGTTCTCATCAAACTGAGTTTTCATTAACACTGTCTTCTGACAGCCTTCATGTTTGAAAATCCTTGTAAATATTAATACATGACATGCAGATTGACACAAGACTGCAGAGATGATGTTACAGAAACTCTCAATCAACTTGAGAAGACAAAATAACACTATGCGACTTTTGTGAAGTCTCACTCTTTTCCTCTTCCTTCTCATAGTATGATTGTATGCTATGATGATAAAAGATTCGCTCTGTAAACTTATGCTCCTCTCACCCTTCACTTTGTCATTTTGCTGCAACCCCAATATCTGTCGGATAAATATGATAGCAGGATTTGAGAATGTGGGCAATACATTCCAATATTTTTTTTTTTTTTCCTTCAAACGTCCAGCTGTCAAACTCTTGACATATTGCTCGACCATTTCGAAATATGGAGTGTTTCTCGTCGTGCACACTTCCCATCTATGTCTTTGCCCAATGGAGGACTGGATAACTCCTCTCCAGACAGTATGCTTCACAAGGTTTTCTTCGACACCATAACTGGGAAGTGTTATATCACCAATTCTCAGAGCGCCAGGTTCGTTATCAATTCTGTTTGTACCCAGGACAACACATTCACCTGAGAGTCAAAGCTAATGAGCAAACCAAAGGGTCTGTCTGCTGTTCAATCTGCATTACGCATGTACATTTCACTAGATGTTCTTAAAGGCCCTGCTCCAGATCTCCGATGATATTTCCAGGCGTCTGAATTGAAAGGTATATTTGGGGGAGAGTTTTCACGCCAAATCATTTTTGTGGTGGTCGAGCCGCCAATACTTTGAGTGCATTCGCTGATGTTTTCAAACGTGGACGTCTGCAAGAGAAGACCACGCAGACTTTGCCTTGCTGCTTTTGCAGCTGCAGTCATACTTAATTGCGAAATCAACAGACCAGAACAGGAAGTTCGGCTTCTAGATAACCGAACTAAGCACATCGTGGAAGCTATCACTTCTGCAAACCCAGCTGGGGACTCTTGAAGATTCTTCAAGAGTGCAGTATTATCCTGACAATCATAAGGGGCCGGCAAAACAACACTAGCCCGAAAAATGGGTAAGATGTTTTACAACGTGGGAATGTTGGCGACTAGCGAAGTAATTAATGCTCAGCGACGGATTTAATCGGACAATACGTTCGTCAAACCGGTCCTAAAAAATAAACATTACTTGAAAGGGCCTTGGGAAAAGTTTTGTTGAAGAGGCGTATAGATTTTCTCACGGTGATTTCGCGATTGAAGCTGCCAATGAGCTTGTTGACAGCCTGGACAAGCCAAAATTGGCCGGCTGTACGGGTTGCCATTCTCGCAGGCTATGAAGTTGATATGAACTAACTCTTCAGTATTAATTAAGGTCTGTCAAACCGATTTGTGAAGAAATTGCTTTCACCTATGCTGCCGAAGACATTGCTGTCGTTGCTGCAACAAAAGCTGGAAGCCGTGGGAATTGCAGTCCGACCAGAGGCCGACCAGAAGAAGGTCCTGACGCATATATCCCGCTGATTTGCGTTCTCAAGATATCGGTGCGCTTCCATCCTGGGTAGATGGTCGTGATATAGAAACAATATCAAAGCCTGTTAGTAGGTCAACGTTCAAAAGTGCTGAAGCTAACGAAAGCCACCATAGTTTCCCATAAACAACTTGTTAACACGCTGAGAAAGTAGAAGAAAAAAAATTAAAAAAAAAAAAAGGAACGATGCGTGACACTAAAGGATTTCAATAATCCTAATTCTGGACGTGAGGATATGGTAATTCCGGAGATCCTGAAGCAGCCTGCATGAGAAAGCCCTGCTAAAAGCTATCCTGGAAAATCTAGCCAGAAAAGCAACCAACGAGAACCAACGCCTCGTTGGACACAACTGAACACTTAAAGCAAGAAGAGATTGAAGTTCAGCACAAACCGCGGACGATGAGTGTCTGGCCCTGCCTGGATTAAACAAGCTCATGGATATCGCTGTTCCGGTAGTGCACATTTTGTCGACAACGTTGAGTTGGGAATTTCATCCTGGAGAGGAAGAAACTAAACAGATTGCTCCTGTGACTTTCCAGTTGAATGATCTCTGCTAATTTTCCAGGCTACATACATGCTAAATTTAATAGGAGGTTATGAGCGAGTGGGTCTTGTTTTTCTCCGTAGCACGCACACACACACACACACACACACACACACACATATAGAACACAGGGAGGCAGTAGAAATGCTGTTTACTGTGATTGAGAGTGAACCGATTTGCAGTCCCGAAAGGCGGGTCAGGCCGAAGTTGGTCGCTTGTTCGGACAACTAATTAACTGACGAGTAGTTAACAGCCGAGTTCAGGATGACCAACCCAGGGAGGTTGGAAGCCAATCATCAACGCCGTCTCTCGTCCCATTTCTCCAAGGATGGTTAACCACCGTCTGCTACCTTGCCCTTTTCGCTGTCCTACCCTCCTGGATGATATCAAACATATGGAGGGTTTGGATGTTCATCTGACGGATAGCCAACTAGTTAAGTTATACCACAAGACCTGGTCAAGAAATGAATGTGCTTTTCCTTTGCCACCCCTTCTCCCTGTTCTACGGCCTGTTGCTCGTCTTCCACTAATAAACGGTCTGGAGGTTCCAGTGCACTTTTCCAACATACTGTCGAATTGTTTTCGAATATTCCGTTAAATTAATTAAAATTCTTCCGGTTGATCAGTGTTGCATTTTCTCGCGGCGTGCATGTGGAATGATACCTGCCCTCTTCATCTTATTGATGCAGCAAATATCTCCCATAACCCATGACGGAAGGGTATTTCTCGAGCATTCACAATGGACAATAGACTCCCCTCTCCAGGCAAGCCCATATATAGAAATGTGGAATACAGCATTTGGTTCCATTCAAGATAGATCATTCGTCTTGAACATCCGTTCCTTCCCTTAATTTTTGTCCTCCGTGACCCCAATGGTATATGTATATTCAACGTATATATCGTATTTCACGTTGTTGTCAACAGTTGGTTGCTTCTATTCCCGACGATCCCTTTTACAGTACTCTACTCTTCCATTAACGTCCCCTCACCAGCTATGGCCACCCTTTTCGGGATAATATCCATGGCAAGAATTTTGCTGACTATCTTAAACTCGTGTCTGGTACTGACATACCCGCTTCCGACCCTTCCCCCAGCCCTAGTTCCGCGATTTAATGCCCCCGCATCATCCTGCCCCGCTGTAAGAATAATATCCGCGCGTGGAACCTCTGAAGATCCCGGCGAGGGCCGTCTAGCTACTGTTGCCAGTGATATCGCCAAGGGACACGAAAACAGCGAACGGGTCCCGCTTGATTACCCTGCGGGACTTTTTCCGTACTCCCTGTCGCTGCACCAGGGGATCAGGGCACTCAAGTCCCTCCTAAACACGACTGTGTCGGAGTGTCCGGATTCGAAAATTGTGGTTATGGGGTATTCGCAAGGGGCGCATGTTATAGGCAATACTTTGTGTGGCGGAACCATTACGGAAGCGATTGATACGGTGATTGGAGATAAAGGTATGCAATATATGTTACTCCTGTTGGCTCCATTTGTGGAAATGATATTTGTCGTGCTTGGAAGTGCAGAGATGAGAAAGACGGGTAAAAAAGAAGAAAAGGAGGAAGGACTCGTTAAAGAGTATGGTGATAATTGATGATAATTTGCATGCATCTGGTGGCATTTACTCATTTAACCGACATTGCCTTGGACCAATGTCTGTAGTCACTGCCATTATCTTCATGGCCGATCCACGCCATGTACCGGGAAAACCGTACGATGTCGGCACCGCAACCCGGGGTGGCGTAAGTTGCAATTTTCTTTATGGTTAATTAATCTCATATTGGATTGGAACAAACTACAATGAACCTTACGCCACAATCCATAGCCACACTAATTTCATAAAATGATGCCAGCTTTTCGCACGCCCAGACTCTGAGAGCTGCGATTTCTTCGCACCCCGCCTGCGAGCCTACTGCGACTCAGACGACCCGGTCTGTGATAGGGGCTTTGACCGTGAGGTACATCGGGCTGTTGTGAGGAAGTATCAGGCTGATGCTGTTGCATTTGTTAATGGGTTGCTTAGTTGAATATACCCCGTCTTTTGCCGTTTCTGGTAGCGGTTCGTTAGTGGTCAGTTGACGGCGATTTTTAAGGCTAATTAATATATATCTTATAACTTTATACGGTTCCGAGAACTTAACCAATGATATTTACTTGGGTTACATAATATTGTCTGCAAGGTTTTTATGAAACAAATGGTCTATAATTCTATGTTCTATGATTCCGGGAAGTAAAGCAAGAAGAAAGGGAAAAAGAAATCAAACTATCGGTAGTGTTGATACATGAAAATAGTTGGCAAGTAGAATGATATTTTCAGGGGAGAAGAGGGAAAAGGTTCTTGGATTCCCTTTAATTTGATCCGTTTTATACAGGGGTTGTTGGATCGAGTGGGATAATCCGGTCCTGGCATCAATATTGCTAATGAGATGATAAGTTGCTTCCGAATTCATCTCAGTCAGTCTGAAGCCAAACTCCAAAAAAAAAAAAAAATGTAGCTATTTCCCAAGACTCCAACCTCGAAATTAAGCTTCCGCTACCGTATCCTCGACTCATGCTCGATCCCGGCAGTATCTGGAGGATCGCTCGCCGCAAATCGATAATAGTCACTACGATCATCTGGTATCGTAAGCGGTGTCGAGTATCCGCTGGATTTGCGTGACGTGCCTGCAAGACTTGATGCCTCTAAGATCTGTGGTGGATGCTCCATTTTTGTTAGCCAGGACCTTGGCCATTAACCCGCGATTACATTATTTTGGGTACGGAACGGAACGGAACTTGCCATTTGGTTATGGGAGCCTGTCCTGTTGTTTGGCATAGGCCTGGAGACACGCTGCGGCTGAGATTACGGTGCTGAGGCTCCATGAGGATGGATTCGAAGTGCGGAGAGGGAAGTGGAGGTGGGGTTTGGATAGGGACGGAACGGCGGTCAATCAAGCTGGGACAATACTCGGATAAAGCTTGACGATATTCGGGTAGAGGAGATTGCAATTTACTGGAGAAAATCGAGTGATATTCATTAAGCGAGTGAAGCTGAGGAGATCCGGTTGACAAGGAATGATGATGGAAAGGTCCTGGATCGTACTGAGGAGGGGTTGAACGCCAATCAAGTGACACGGGTTGACGATAGTGGTGGAGATGAGGGGATGAAATATGGTTGTATGAAATATGCCGCAATTGGGGAGGTATGGGCTGCTGGTATGGGTTTGGATGAAGTTGAGGTGGAACAGTATTTAATTCGGGGCCAATTGGTTGAAAGCTTTGATATTGAACGGTGGCAGGAGTATACCTATTAATGGGAGAATGGTGATTGGCCATGGCAGTTTCAGACTGGTGATGGGTTACCTGCGTCTCCAGTTCAGCGGAAGGTGACTGTTCCATCATAGAGAGCTGAGCGGCGGACGCAGATGTGCTGGGGGGCTCTTTCGGCCTAGTGTTCGGGCCTTTATATATCGCCCATATCTAATACCAGGCGAATTAGTTCCATTTGACTATTTCTCGTTCTTCCAACCGCGTTAAAACAAACCCCACTTTAGTACTTACAAGCTGACTACGTTTGTTAGATTGACAACTTGGTACGGAGGTAACCTGTCGAACATACCCACGCTTCTGTAGAGCTCGCCGCAGACAATCCTGCTTGACGTCAAGGTCCAGAGCCTCAATTATCTTCTTATACGAGAGGCTCTGGTTTTCCTTGGAGGCTGTTAGAAAGTTTTCAATGTCATCCACCTGCTTCGTGGACAGCTTGCTATTCCGGCCGGGTCGCTTTTTAGGATCGCATGTATTTGATTCACAAGTATATTGAACCGCACGGTGAGAGACATGGAGATACTCTGCTATGGCTCGGTATGTATAGCCCAACCGCCGCATGACGAGGATATCTTTTCGCTCCTCGCGATTGAGGCGACGTCTGTGGATCTGAGACTGAGCCTGGGGAGCTGGATTGGAGGCATTAGGGGATCCCAAACTACTAGCTGTAGGCGAGGTGAAATCCATTACGGAATGAATTGAAGCGGGAGATAAAAAGGTAGAGGGGCGTCGAAACGTGTTGATTATGAACTTGGAGCATGAGGCAGCCAGGAAAACTCCTGGAACTGCGGGTTCAGCCTTGAGGCAGCGCTCTCATCCATGGCAGCTGTAATGCCAAATAAATACCCGATAAAAAGGGGATCATCGAATAGCTCCCGTCCGCCTGGGGAAATCTCCTTCATCACGTGGAACTAGTTACCTTAGGCGCATCTTAGGCGCTTTCTAACGGCGCTTAGGACTGACATGTGTCCAGGTGACCACCCGTTGGGAAAGAAAAGGCGAAGCCTTTGACTTCGCATCCGCAGCGTTGGGTGGGCGTTTGGCCATGGGGATCCAGCTGTTTGCCCGTTCCCGCATTCGAGAGACATCTGAACATGAAGTCGATCGAGAGAACACCCAGATAGGGCTGTATCTATACACGAGGTCGGCGCCGCCAACGTTGTTCCCAGGGCCAGTTTTGTCTTACAACCACCGCTGATTTTTCGTGCTCGGAATCCTTAACTGAGGAAGCGCGTTGAAATCCACGAATAAGCTTGTTTCTATAAGCTTCCAGCGACAAATTTTCTTTTGTGAATTCGGAAGAGATTCTCATCTAGTGGTAAAGGACCCAGTTAACATACAACCTAGCTTCTTGCATATACAGATCCATGGATACGTCGCCCCCCAAAGTCATGGGGGCTGATTCATCGCCCCCTATTTATTAAAAACCTTGGAACATCCAGCAGAGGTTAACATTGACTGCTACATCTAAACATGCATAGATCCAGTCCAGCTACTGTATAACCTTCGGTGGTTATCATTTGCTATATGGTGGCCATTTGGTAGCCATTGGTCCGGCAGGAAATTAGTCCATTGGGGAACAAAGTTTTCTGGGGCACTTGGACGCAATGGGTATATATATATGTACGCGGTTTTCCATGGATGTCAGGCTGCATGGCTGTGGAGTTTCATCCACATAGCCTGTTTATCATATTCTGCATCTATGTGTTTCTACTGGTAAATTTTCGCTTCATTTACCTGCGGTCCTTCGGGTGCCTCCATCCTTTTGGATGGAGGCTGCGCCAAGTGATTGAATTGCAATTATATTGCGCTCCCCATTTCCTGGGGTTTTATTGATAGTCGGCAGTGCTAGATCTTAATTTTGAGTTAAAAACTTTTAAACATTTTGCACCCTAAATTTCTGCTTGCTGATCCAAGATAACTCACAAGTAATACAATTTCTTTGCAGTAACAGATGCATTTTTATTACAAGGAAACCTGCTGAGAGATCAGGTCTGAAGTAGAGGCGAATTGATCACTTATTTTAGAGCGGGTTTTGTCGGTTCTGTCCAGATTTGTCCGGTCTCCGGATCCACCCAGTTTTCAAATATACATGGGGCTTGTTCACAAAATAGACTTTTGTCTTGCTTTCAATCGCCGTTGCGCAAAGTTGTTCGGTGTTCAGCCGATTTTGGTTCCTTGATTCTTGAGTTTTCTTTTGCATTTTAATAATAATTCAGGATCATCTTCATTTGGGTAAATATCTGTTCACGATCCGCTTTCCAGATAAACCAGGGAGAAGAAAGAAAAGAAAAAAAGAAAGACTTTTCCTGGGGAACTGTTCAAAATTCCCTTACAACTCAACGAACAATCGCTGGCTTTCTGGGTCCCCAGCTGCTCGCACAGTCAACCCTCAATATCTTCATAGGGCAGCCTTCTAGGTCGAGCGGCCCTAAAACGGCTGTATGCTGGCTCAGCCGGGATGAAGGAACAAGCTGGCCGTATATCGCTGGCCCAAGATGAAAAGGGGACGAAAAGCGTAAGGGATATGACCTGGTCAAGTCAACAACATGAGTCTGAAGAGGTGGAGGTCCACGCATCATTCCAGTTGACTCAACTGAAGAGGAAACTTAAAAGTAGACACCTTCAGATGATTGCGATTGGTATGCCACTTTTACTCGGCTTCTGAACTCCCAACTAGAGCATTACCACTGATGCTGTCATTCTAGGTGGAACCATTGGCACAGGTCTATTCATCGGAAGTGGCGCTGCAATTTCAAAAGCTGGTCCTGCTGGCGCTCTGATCGCATATGCCTTTGTTGGCTTTATCGTCTTCTCCGTCATAGTTTCGCTTGGGGAAATGGCTACATACATTCCCATACCTGGCGCTTTTACCTCTTATGCTACCCGTTTCATTGACCCTAGCCTTGGTTTTGCTATGGGCTGGATATACTGGTTTTCATGGGCCGTCACTTTTGCACTCGAGCTGACGGCGACGGGTCTCATCATTCAATATTGGAATGATACTATCCCCATCGGAGTTTTCATAGCTGGTTTTTGGATTTTTATTACCGCCATCAACATGCTGCCTGTCAGTTTCTACGGCGAGATCGAGTTTTGGTTTTCCAGCATCAAGGTCATCACGGTCATTGGTTTCATGATATTTGGGATCTGCATCAATGCGGGTGCAGGTCAGCAAGGCTACATTGGCTTTAAATATTGGTACAACCCCGGGGCGTTTGCTCCATATCTCCTCGAAGTTATTGGCAACGACAGAGTCACAACAGCAAAATTTATCGGTTTCTGGGCAACTCTTATCCAAGCCGGGTTTTCATACCAAGGAACCGAATTGGTCGGCATCGCAGCTGGCGAGACTGAAAACCCACGCAAAGTCGTGCCAGCAGCAATAAAGAAAACCTTTTACCGCATTCTATTCCTCTTCGTTCTTACCATATTCTTCATCGGTATTCTAATTCCATACACGAACCAAGATCTCCTCTCAAATGCCTCCAACGCCTCGGCTTCTCCATTCGTCATCGCCGCCAAACTTGCCGGGGTCAAAACACTCCCAGGCCTCATCAACGGCGTCCTTCTCACTGTCGTCCTCTCCGCTGCCAACTCCAACGTTTACTCCGGTAGTAGAATACTTGTGTGTCTAGGCCACGACGGTTGCGCACCCAGATTATTCACTAGGGCCACCCGGAGAGGCGTCCCAATCTTCAGCGTGCTTTTCACTGCCGCTTTTGGCCTGCTCAGCTTCCTCAACCTGTCCAACAGTGGCTCCATTGTCTTCGAATGGTTCATGAACATCAGCAGTATCGCCGGCTTTATTTCATGGACATGCATTAACGGTTGCCACCTTAGCTTCATGCGCGCTCTTCGCGTCCGGAATATTTCCCGCCATACACTTCCCTACAAGGCACCTTGGCAACCATACCTTGCCTATTTTGGCCTCTTTTTTAACGCCTTTATTATCATCACGCAGGGTTTCACTTCCTTCATACCGTGGAACACATCGCGTTTCTTCGTTTCGTATGTTAGTTTGATTCTCTTTGTTGTCATGTACACGGCACACAAAATCGTATTCAGGACGGCCTTCGTCAAGCCGTGTGAAGCGGATTTAGATACTGGTCGGGTAGAACTTGATGCGGAGACGTGGGAAACACCTAAAATTACCACAACCTTTTTGGGACGAGTCCGTCATCGGATGCACGCGATGTTTTGTTGATGAGGGTACGCAGATGTATTTTGTATCTTATCACCGCCGCCCTACTATTTCTGCTATGGCTTTTCCATGAACTTCCAGGTGCATTGAACTCATTTAATGGTGTATTTCTAGCTTTACCAACGCCGATCGGTAAGTACCGGTTGATTGGGTTCTATAACACCATGTGGCATTGAGTATCCTGTGCGGACCGTATGACATATGATACGGAGACACTTGGTTAATTGCCCTGTGTTAGCTGGTTGTGCATAGGTGAATATGTTTATACCAGTGTACACGTATTAGTTTATAGATTTATAAATTAAAATATATAACCTTGTATAAATACGTAGTCCATGCCATGGGACATGCTTCCCAAGCGCCATGCTCAAGTCATTCCAAAAAGTCATCATGAAGCAAATCAATGAAAATGAAAAATATGTATATTAAACAAATATATGCTAGCAGTTGGAAAGACAGACTGTGCTGCTCACCAGCAGCAGCCCAGACTACCAAAGTCTGATCACGAACAGAAGACGTTTTCGTAAACCCACCATTTAACATACCGCTATCTTGCACGGAGAGTTGGCAACATGAATTGTGTAAGCAAGTACATTTGGTCCAAAATTTCGTAGTATAATTTGCAAAAGCGCCCGCCGTTGAAGAGGTGTGAGTGTCAATGAATATACCCGGGTTACAGATAGCCGGACTGCGCAAAGGCACATACCACCCTTGTTTTTATTGTATACACTGCTGAAAAGAGGAGCAAAGATCAATACATTGACACATTATAGGAAAGTGATAGAGAGTAAATGAGAATCTTAACACGCTCATTTGTTTCAAAAAAGCAGCCCAAAGCAACACCACCATCATCCTGGATGCAACACTGTACTCTTTCATTTTTGCTGATTGTGTTTCTTCTTTAGCTCCTCAAACCAAGCAACAGACTGGTGCTCTTTCCACCCTCCTTCCCTTCCCCGCCACCAGGAAGATACGTCACATTAGGATTGCTGGCTAGCGTCTGAGCAATCTCGCGACTGGCATCAATTCTACGGATCTGAATCAAGCCATCACCAGCTTTCGCAACAGCCTTGCTAATAATGTCCGCACTCTCAGCCTCTCCCTCCGCACGGATAACGTTAGCCTGTCGCTCCTGCTCAGCCTTTTCGACAATGAACCTTGCCCGTTCAGCATCCTGTTGGGCGATCTGCTTCTGTTCGACGGCGCGGGTGAATTCGCGGCCGAAAGTCATGTGGGTGATGGAAACGTCTTCAAGAGCAATGTTGAATTCCATGGCACGGCGCATGAGGTCATTGCGGATTCTATTGGAGACGGCTTCACGTTGTGTGATGAGTTCTGCAGCATCGAATTGGGCGACGATGGATTTTAGGACTTCGTTGCCGATGGAGGGGAGGACTCTTTCGTCGTAGTCTTGGCCAAGGGACTGGGAGTTAATGGTTAGTCTTATGTATATATATCTACATATACCGTATACTGGGTGAGCAAAAGATGAGGGAACGTACCTGATAGATCTTTGGCAGTTGCTGAACATCCGGTCGATGGAGGACTCTGAGAGTCAAGCTGACCATCTGCAGGTCCTTACTTCCGGTGGTCGTCGAGATGTTTCTGGGCTTTGTTCTCACATCGTAGATAATGCTCTTCTGTAGCCAAGGAATGAGAAAGTGTGTTCCCTCATTGACGACCTTTTCCTGAACACCCGAGAGCCTGTCGAAGATAACAGCACGGGTTCCTCCCTTGACATCGTATATAGATGCCTGGACAAAAGATGCCCCCAGAGCTAGTGGCACGCCCCATTTGTAGACAGCCGCGAGAGCGTTCGCCATGTTTAAAAAGCAGGGTATGGATGGGGGAATGCGTTGTTCCTGGAGCGGCTGGGTTTGAATTGGATTTTTGAAGCTGGTCGACGTTGGGAGACTGCTTTCCATAGCGCTAGGCTGTATTAGGATTAGCGCTAGGCGATGTTAGAGCCTCAACTCTTTCCACTCAAATTTTGACCGCAACACGACAAACCCCCAGGTTACTTCACCACTATCAGCAATCGCACCGTCTCTGTCGACTGCTGGAGTATATACTTGATTTTCTACGAGTTTCCCTTTTTCCTATCTCTAGCATCATGGGTGGCACACACGCAGATCCCAAGCGTGGAATGTAGGTTATTCTCCCCTATGTCCTATTCCCGAGTTTACCTGTCGGACTATAGACGCTTATAGACGCACCACATACCACCATATCACAAAGCATTGATGCTACAGAATCTAACAATTGGCAGATACATCGGCGGGTTTGGAGGTTTCGGTATGTTTCAACCTCGATTCCTAGAGCGACAACCCGTACTCCACCAGACCCCGCCTCGTTCAACCTTGAACCTCGTTCCAACATGTTTTTATAGCCGGACTAATGGATTCTCTCGCGGCTGTATAAACTACAACAGCATCCCCCATGCTAACTGCTTCCCCTTCCCTTTGATGGGATCAAAATAGGCTGCCCGACCCCCCAGAAGATAGCGACCTATGCCCTGTCCCCTAACCGACAACGCCCTTTAGCTGGCGCTCTCTACAACGCCATATTCAACACGTGGAGAAGAACTCGCAACCAGGCTCTTTACGTTGTTCCCCCCTTCGTTGCAGCATATGCGATATTAAATTGGGCTGTCGAGAGGTTCGTAGACCTGCCAACCCCCGTTTCTCACTGCCGTTTGCGGATGTTCGTTTTTTATGGTGAACGTGGGTCAAATGGTTATTGACATGCATATTCCGATAGGAACGAATACTTGAACTCCAAGCCTGGACGATTGGCTGAAGGCGCTTCGGAAGAGTAAAGGCGATACTTGTGGGATATGTGTGTATCTTAGGGAAGAGGAGTGGGAGGCGTTGTCAGCTGTCATTACGCTGTACAGTACATATAAATATTAGAAAGCAAACAACTACTTTGCAAAAGACATTTCAATAAATGCCATCGATAATATATATATTTGATTTTTTTTATATTACCAGTATCTTCTTAGCGGGGAAGCTGGATAGTATCAATGCCTGTTCCAAATCGCTTCGGGATCGTGCACTTTATCTACATAGGTATCATCATACATAACAATCTGCCCTACTTTGCCGTCCGGTGAATTTCCTTAGTTATTCTACCGAAATCAGGAGGCTACCTTACAAGTAAAATGGCCGATCACTATAAATCTACGGAATAGACAACCTGTGTATCAAAATTGTGCTAGCCGTGGTATCCACCTATGCTCGGCATAACGAGAAAGAAGATAAAAACACTTTCATTTGACCAAGCTGAGATTCGAACTCTGAACCTTTTTTTCTGATCAGAGTTGGGAGGTTCATTTGGACTGAACCGATTGAGCTAGTCCATATTGGGCTTAGACCTATGTGAGCTCAAAAGTTTCCGTGACCACCAAAATTTCCAATATAACTCCAGAAACGTCGAAATCCAGTAGAGAGCAGTCGGAAAATCCTTGCAAATTTGTTAATTATTGCCAATTCTCCCTTTTTTTTTTCCGGCGGCCATTTTTACTTAATCGTTCTAAACCTATTTTCCCCGTCTGTCGTTTTATCACTCTACCTGCCGGTCCCTTTCCAAGCCTCCCGACACAATGGCAAAAGAGAAGTCCGAAATAGAGAGAAAGAAGAAGGACAAAAAGCGGTCCGAGAGTGATGGCGTGCACAAAAAGTCCAAGAAAGACAAGAAGAAGGACACGAGCTTGCTTGCTGAGGCTGTTGAGAAGGATTTGACCAAGAAGGTCCTAGACCAGCTCGAGCAGCCAGCGGCTGTTGCTGCTGAGATCACTTCGAAGAAATCAGCCGCGGAGCGACCTATTGGTGCTCTTGTGCCGTTCGCAAACCCGCTGGCGGAGGATAAGGTTGCGAAGAAGGTGCTCAAGAGCGTTAAGAAGGGTATGTCGGGTTCTCTCTTGAACTTATTTCCGTCGTCGTGTCATTTCAACTTGCAACAAATATTTCCGTACTTTCATCTGGATGGCAAACAAATATTACCTTTCCACACAATTAATTTACTAACAACAGCCCCCGTAATATTTAGCCGCCGTAAACAAGTCACTCAAACGAGGCGTGAAAGAGGTCGTCAAGGCACTGCGGAAATCACCTGTGCCACCCCCCAACGCCGTCATCGACAGTCCAAGCGCCGTCGTTGTGCTCGCAGCCGATATCTCCCCAATGGATGTCATATCACATATACCCGTTCTTTGCGAAGACCACGGAATTCCCTACGTTTATGTCACGTCAAGAGCTGAGCTGGGGAGCGCCGGCGCCACCAAGCGACCGACCAGTGTGGTCATGGTGCTGCCACGGTCGAGTGGGAAGAATAAGAAAGACAGCGATAAGCATGGCGACGATAAGGAGGATAAGGAGTATTATGCGGAGCTTGTTAAAATTGCGCAGAAAGAGGCAAAAAGGGTAAAAATATAAGACCTAAATTCTGTTGCTGGTTGGTCCTTTTAATTGTACATTTTTAGCATTTTTTCCATTTTTCTTTTTTCTTTTTCTTTCTTTTCTTTTTTTTGCTTCCTTTCGCCTTCATTCTCTTGCCTTGGTTTGTATACCTTTCTTGTCTTTCTTCTATTTTAATTGTGTTACCTTCTGGATGGGTGTGTCTCTTTTCCTTGTTTTTATTCTGTCTAATTACCCGTGCGTGAAAGTATGTTTTTCTTATATTGGATAGTATCATGTCATGAGCAGCTAGACATGTGACACGAGGTGCGGGGCATTCGGTCCTGTATTTTCCTTTTCTTTTCTTTTACTCAATCAAGGTTTTGCATATCCTCTTGTACGACCTTCATAAATCGGTGTATAAAAAGGACGACGGAATTATATATTTTTTCGGCCTTGAGCAGTTGTTACGCTCCCTCGGCTGCACGTGATCTAGATTGCCTGTGCATAGCATAGCTAGCGTCACCGAAAGAAGATATGCCCGTACGCAGTATTCGTCGTCAGAATACGAGTGAGTGGTATCCTACTTCATTAGATCGCATGTGCTTCCAATACGGTGAACGCAGAAATGCAGTTGCACCTCGTTTTGCCATGTTTCGTCCTTGTAGACACATGCTTCGTGTCCTGATACATATATGGGGCATTGCTCTCAAATTGAATCTTTCCTCGCAATCGCTTTTTTGCCCCCATCTTTGTTCTGGCTTCTGATTACGGTAGCGGGCCGGAACGGATGTATCGGGGATTATTGATAAAGGCAACCTATATTTAGCTAGCTACCTACGGAGATAGTGTTTATGTATATAAAGAAAACAAGTATGCCTTATGCCTTACCTAGGTAAATTCCTTCTATAGTTCGTTAAATTTTTCCCTGTTGAGAGAAGCTCAAACTCGAGAGGGGGCGGCGGTGATGTCATGTTTACGAAAATCATCCATCTCACAACACCCGGAGACTCTTTGCACCAGCCATTCCCACCACGACGAGTTGCATGTTAGAAGTGCTAAGTGAGACAGAATCTACAGAATCTCAGGGTTTTTTTTTTTTTTAGAAGGAGAAATATCATGTATACAAATATGATTAAGAAATCCCACTCAATTTAATGTGGTTACAGAAGGATTAAGTCGCCAATAAAGTACCGCACACATCCCCTTGGTCGTATCTTGGAATCCATTTACCGTGCTGTTGCATCCTTCGACAAAGTCCCTTATCTCCTCCTTTCTCCCCTACCTACGTTTCACTAGGGTGGTCTCCAGACACCGTACCTGAACCGCTACCGGTTGTTTGCATGTTTGCGGACCTCAAGTCAGAAGCCCCTGGGGGTTGTTCTGGTAGAGGAAGATTGGCTTTCCGCTGGTCGATTTCTGCAGCTTTGTCGGTTTGGGAGTCGATAATGGACTGGGTCAAAGCGGGTTAGTTTATGGGCAAAGAAAATGCGAACGAGAATAAAATATAGATACCTTCATCGCAGACACGTTTGAATCCTTTGGAATGGTCCCTCCATGCCGACCAGCAGTTTATGATTCCGCTTGGCGGGTGTCTTCTTTCGTAGTGTGGAATGTTTCGTCGGTGCCGGACATGATGAGTGTCGTCGGGTAATTATAAGGATGTCTTGTTTGGAGGAATTATGTGGGGCCAAAGTGGAGAAACAATTGGGGTACTGGTTCAATCGATTTCGGTTGACCAAGTATGCTATTTCTGAGATAACGCACGGTATCTGTTAACCAAAGAGAGAGAGAGAGCTTTATATACTACTCCTGGCTCCCGGGGGAGGAATGATGCCGGGTTCAGAGCAAATGACGTCGATGCTACGCGGTTTCTTCACTTGCTCCAAGTAGTGATTACTGCTGCAAGATTCGAAAAGAAAACATTAACATGGCCGTTCAGATGATTGCTAGGTGGTGGCCACATAATAAAACTAATAAAACTTGACCTGAGCTCCACTTGCCCTCATTAGCCGCATCTTGATCAAACGATTGTTTCATCAAAGGGGAGAGCTGGACATAATCTGTTGCTCAAATGTCCATGAGCTGTAAACTCATGTAACTACTTGTGACGATTGAACCTGAATCATGCGTGAACGCGATGGTTTGAATATCAAGCACTTCTGCAGCAACACTATTCAGGGCAGTTCAAGCTGAGGTGGACTTTTGGGAGGTCTAAGTCACATTACATGCATGGCTTGTGTCTGTTCGTTTCATATAGCCAAATGACGGATCGCGAGAAATCAAAGTATGTACAATATTGTCTTTCTGTGTAGAAGCAAGTAGAATGATGTTGGGGTGATGTAACGACAAAACTGTAAATTACGGTTAGCGCCGCTAATTTTCAGCCGAAGCCGAAACTTGTGTATGGACTCGATCAAAAATACACGAAGGCTGTAAAGCCCTGCGATGCTCTTTGCGCAAAAATTTCCCACAGCTCGACCAAAATAAATATTTTACCTGGGATGCTCGCGCTGTCTTTTTGAACACTCATTTGCCTTGTCACAACGCTTTATCCTATGCCTGGCGATCCATTAATCGGGCTGGTAGGGAAACCCTCGTCCGGAAAGTCAACTACTCTGAATAGGTGAATATGGATGATAACACTTATATCAAACCAACAATGGAATATGTTTGGAATCAACATATCTGACACAACAATTACAACAGCTTGACTGATGCTTCTTCTAAAGTTGGTATGTTTCACAATATTGTTGCCTTTTTCCTACAAACCAATGCTTAATGAAACATTTCTGTAGGAAATTTCCCGTATGTCCTCGACCCCATACCCTCAACCCCTTTCTTTTCGAGTACCCCTTTTTGATACCCGGTCCTCTACGCTTTAATCTTTCATAACTGAAATACAAGGATAGATTCACAACTATTGACCCTCAGCGCGCCATCGGTTACCTTCAAGTAGACTGCGCCTGCAAACGCTATAATCTCTCGGATATATGCAAACCAAATTACGGTGGTTGCCATGAGGGTCGCCGATCTGTCCCGATTGAACTGCTCGATGTTGCCGGACTTGTTCCAGGAGCCCATGAAGGCAAAGGCCTCGGGAATAAATTTTTGGATGACTTGCGCCATGCAGATGCGTTGATACATGTGGTAGATGTTAGTGGGACAACGGATGCAGAAGGTTGGTTAAATCAATCCACAAAACATTGCGCAATGTGCGCAAATGCAAATAATATCATCAAATTGTGTGGATTTGGATGGACTGAAATGAAAGGGTTCCGACGCCAGGGAAGGCAACCAGAGGGTACGACCCATCACAAGATATTGTGTGGTTGAAATCAGAGATAGTCAACTGGATTCTCGGGAATCTGATGGAAAAATGGTACCGCAAATTCTTCCCGTGGATTTTTGGAAGCAGGAACTTACAGGTTGGCAGGGGCTCCATTAAGCGACGGCATACTGCAACAAGTACGGCATTCCCTGTCTGGCATTCGAAATATCTACCTCTGACAGAGAATTAGAGGCAACGGCTGCCGAAACGCTTCAAAACCAGTTCTCCGGTTACGGAAGCACGTCGAAGCTTGTCATGCGATTTCTTGATCAGTTAGACATAAAAGAGCCCCTTCAAGAGTGGTCGGACGAAACGGTAGAGCGTGTTGTCGTCGCTTTTATAGACAAAAAATTCCCTACTGTTCTCGCACTAAATAAAATCGATCATCCAGATGCCGACAAGGTAAATGAGGGTAGATCTTACAAAACCTTCTGACGCTCTGGCTGACTTCGGAAACTCGCAGAATATAAATAAAATTGCCAAAATGTATGATCCACAGTCAATCGTGCTGTGCTCTGCCATATCAGAAGTCTTCCTCCGAAAGCTAGTCAAGCAAGGCTATATCAAATATATTGAAGGGAGTGATTGCATAGATACAAGAGAGGATCTTATAGAGTTGGGCGATCCCGATGGCGGTGGACTCAAAGAAATGGGCGATAAATTAAAGAAGTGTGCTAGTAACCTCTACCTCGTCCTCTCGGTCTAATATTTTACCCTATGATACTGATTTTTAATAGTCGAGTGGACAATCTCAAGGATTTAGTCCTCTATCGGTTCGGCTCTACAGGCGTCGTCCAAGCTCTCTCGCGGGCTGCAGAGTTGCTTGGCTTGGTACCCGTTTTCCCAGTCCGCAACATTCATACATTTGCATCCGGAACTGGTGTACGGAATGGGGTTTTCAAGGATTGCGTGCTTGTCAACAAGTGAGACCCACGACTGGAATGCCTGCAGTTTCTGGAGAACATTATCGATTGCTAACCTTATGTAGGAATAGCACTGTTGGCGATGTAGCCCGGAAAGTAATGGGCGATATACCAATAGCTTATATCGAAGGGGCAGGAGGTACAAGAGTTTCAGAAGATGAAATAGTTTCTGTTGGAAATTACGATGTGAGTAGTGTGCATGTTGAGGATTATCATTGCTTCTCATTTCCCAACTAATTTCATTTGCGAAATCTCTAGATTTTATCTTTTAAACCTGGCCGATGATATCCTTATGATAGAGTTATACCGGGGTAAATAATACTTCTGTTATTCCCCCCCCTTCTCTCCTGGTCAACCCGCAAAAAAATAATAAATAAATAAATAAAAAAAAAAAAAAAAAAAAAAAAAAAAAAAAAAAGAGGCCCCAAAACGCCTCGCATGAGTAATGAATTGCTAGAGCAAGGGCTTTTCCGCAATTAGAATCCCCAAAAGCCCCCAGATCCCCACAGATGCTTTGTATAGCAAATAACTAGGTAACATTCTTCTCAAGCACCTTTCTGTAATTGAGAATAATGTTAGCCGTGTATTATTAAAAAGAGAAATGAGAAGGATACAGAAATCCCAAGCCGAGCAAAACTATCTTGCCCCTTTCATCAGTCATTCCAATAATTGGATCTGGAGCCTCAGGAAACTCCTCCTTCATCTTCTTGGTCGAGTTCTCGTGATTTTGCTCCGTTGTGTGGCCTGACTCTTGGATTTGTCGGATCCATTCTGAGCCTCCTCTTTTTCCTTCAAACCACTGGTTGAGCCCTTTGTCAAAGGATTTGTCGTATCGCCGCGTTTGCTCTGCTCCAAACTGGTATCTTTTCCTGCCGAGCCGGTCCATGCGTAACGTATTCCTGGACAGAGCAGCTTGGTCTGTAGCGAACGATGCGATAATCCTTACCACAGGGAGAAATTTTTGCTGTTTGAACATAGCCGCCATCATATCGTGAAACTTATTTGTCGATAAGAAAAGGATGATAAGCAAATCTGATTCGGTGGAAGACAAGCCCGGAAGTTCACAGTTTGATTTCTACAGTAAATCGTTAATTACTGTTACTGAGACTATGACGTCAGGGGGCGCCTCAGCAAGGATTGTCTCGGATTACCGCCTAATTCGGTTTCCCTGGGACCTTCATTAAATAACTATCAACAACGGCATCAAACATCGCAAAGCATAAGAACGTCAATTTCCGTGAGAATCACAATCCTCCTCCTTGTATAGAGTCCAAATAGCAAATAGCAACGTATTTGCAGTTTGTCTCCATAGCCATATATCAACATGAGACGAGAAACGCTTCCCATCGATGCTGTCGCGGCTTGGACCAGGCTCAACAACATTGAATTCCACGGTGTCGAAGTGAAACGGTTGGAAACGGGAGATGGGGTCGATAAAGGCGCTGCCGTCGTTGCGACCGAAACCATGTCAACTCAGGAGTTAAACGCGGAGGCGCAAGCTCAGCCCAAGATTTTGATGACTGTTCCGCGTGACCTGATCCTCTCACTAGAATCAGTGGAAAATTACGCAAAGTCAGATAGACATTTGAAGGAGGTATTAGATGCCGTAGGTGATTATGCCAGGGTGAGTTTCTCCACTTATTGGGGGCCTATCCTCGTGCTATCGGCAGCGGATTATTTTCTTTGCCCTTTGTCACCCAGAGAATGATTTGTAATTAGTATACGGCAGTTTCTGATATTTGTAGACAGCGCGAGGGGCTATATTGATATTCCTCCTTGTCCACATTTCATATTCAGACTCGGAACTGTCATCAAAGGAGCATATCAGAATGTCCAGCGCATGGACAGAATATGTAAAATTTCTTCCAGAACCACTACCACTTCCAACCTTTTATACCATCGAGGAGCGCGAACTTCTACATGGCACCTCGCTGGAACTGGCGCTTGATGCGAAAATTGCCACTCTAGAGAAAGAATTTAATGATCTCCGTGAAGCTACCATGGATATCAAATGGTGCAACCGATATTGGTGGCATGAGGAGACTGGCCGGCTTACGTTTGAGGATTGGAAGTTGGTCGATGCTCTATATAGGTCGCGCTCGCTAGAGTTTCCTGGTATTGGTCACGTCATGGTGCCATGTTTGGATATGACGAACCACGCCTCCAACGATCTGACCAACGCATTATACGAGGTTGACGGAGGGGGGAATGCCGTGTTACAATTACGCTGGGGTCGGAGTTTGGGGAAGGGGGACGAAATAACCATCACGTACGCTGATCCCAGAGAATCACCTTATCCCCCCCCCCCAACACCCAGGTAGAAAGACCTAGAATTAATTGGACTAACTTCGCCTACACGTGGGTCGATCACATAGGTACGGTGATGAAAAGGGTGCGGCGGAGATGATTTTCTCCTACGGATTCCTCGAAAACGGGCTCGCAAAGGCTCGTCAACTCTTCCTTGACCTCGACATCCCATGTGATGACCCGCTGCTACCACCAAAGAAGGCTGTCTGTGACGATGCCCCTGGATTCCTCCTATTTTCCACAGACTCAGGAGCCACGGATTGGGAAAGTCGGTTTGTTTGGTGGTGCTGTGTCAACGAAGAGGACGGCCTAGAGTTTCGCGTTCTACAATCTAACCAGGGCCAACGCGAGCTCAGGGTTTCTTGGAAAGGAACTGACATTGGCCCTTCTGAGCCTTTAGTTGAGCAGTTGAAGAAGGATCCCATGTGGGAGTTGTTTCAGCTACGAGCAGTTGTCATACTGCAGGACCGCATTACGAATCAACTTGCGCGTCTACGCACAAGCGATGAATATGTGCGGCGATGGCTTGAGTATGTGGATGAAACGATCATTCGCCGTTCGGTTTGGGATACTGTGATTCAACTCCGGGAACTAGAGGGAGAGCTTCTTGAAGCTGGGCTTCATGACATAGAAATCAAGGTACCAAGTTCCTCACATTGTTTTGCCGTTCTGCCACCTCGCTATTGTCCCTATTCCCTCTACCTAGGACCCTAGGTGTGGAACGTTGTATGATGTGCATTTGATCCTTTTGTCCTGGACTAACAGACAAACTCGCCGGAAAACGGCGGCTTGGCATATCTTTGGACAGAAACTACAACTTTTGAATAGGGAATCTGTGAGGGCTTATTTAGAAACGCAAAACCCGGGTGCAGGCATTACGGAAGATTTCTCCTAATTCTTGTTTTCTTTTTATTGACTGCTTGTTATTCACGGAATATGGAATCAACCAAGAAATTAAGCAGAATACAAAAATATGAAAATGGTGGCCGATTTACGTGCCACTTGGCCTCGCATCTGGCTTCCCAAATTTCGAGGGGATCCTGCTCGTCTGATTAAGGTGATGGCAAATATATATCGGTATCGATACGAAATCACAAAGTTTTGATATGTAAGTTATAGAGTAGAGTTTTATTTAAATTTTAAATTCTGTTTGTTAATTGTAGTATATAAACTGTAATATAGTTAAACTGGGTTATTTTAATCTTAATCTTTTAAAGATATAGTTATATATTTTAAGAAATAAGAAATTATAAAAATGAAATATTTCTTATTAGTTTTTATAAGCTTACTTTATTAATAATTATAACTGAGTACTAGTTAGTTTTATATTTAATAATAATAGCTTTAAAATAATAAAGATGACGACTCTTCATCTGGCTTCGGAATGGCAGGCATCTCATGATTCAATTTTCTCGCCGCACAAGCTCTCTCTTGATCTCAATTCCTGCTCTTCTCAGTTTCTCGATTCTGTCCGCGTTCAAAATTCATCCTCATGAAATATACCATTTCCCGCCCCGATGAACTGTCCATTTCATGCAAACTTCAAGCCTTGGGTTTGCCCTCACCACACACCACTCTCGTCGCATAAATCCCTCCATTCACGCCCTCCGGCAGCCAGCTGTTCCCTTCTCCCTAAATCCCGTCATGGTTCTCCCCACAGCGCTCTGCCATTGTCCAAACATCACCTACCTACAAGACCAACCGGCTGAAGTTTGCGTACCTTTCGGCGCCAACATCCGGCCATGTAAGCTACCCCAATCTCAAGCACGAGAGGTATCAATACCACCGCTGGATCTGTCACACCGGCAATAGCGGTTGTGATAGAATATATGCTGTACATGATGTTGAAACTAAGATAGAAGGGGGCGCCACAACTGCTGCTGTTTCTAATCTAACGTCAATCATGCCACCTCATGCCGTCTGACCCTCGCGCAAAGAACAATATTCGCGACTTCTCCCTGAAACTCTGATTATGAACCGAAAGTTCAACTCGAGAACTCTCATTTCAAATGTATAATGCCATCTGCATATCGCTACATGATATGCCATGCTTCAAGTGAGATAGTTTCATCGGCAGAAGCCGTTCCTATTCTGTCAAATTGCACTAAATATTGAGTAGCACATGATAGGAAGGGTTTTAATGTACGATTCTCATCAACGTGACTAACAAGTAATAGCTGGCCTGTTTTTCCTTTAGCCGTTGTCGCTTTGATTGCAGCTTGACTGTCTGTGAAAATGACTGCCTTTCCCTTGTACTTGAGGCTCATTTTCAACCCATTCGGATCCCCTGCAGTTTGCCATGATATGTGCCTCCATGTACTTTCCTAAAAATAATTGGCATACGTCCTGGTTGTAGGACCTCTCAGTTCTTAGTACGCCAGGATGCACAGATCCTGTCAGCCTTCTGGTGTGCTTCGGAGATAGCTTCTGCATCACACTCATCATAAAGTCTAAGAGACCTGAATGCCGTATATCGGAGCAATATATAACCATGGAGGGGAATGGCTGCATAGCATAGACTGGGTTTTGTGGTGTAGCCTGAAAACCGTCAGTAGACAAGACAATGAAACTCAGCCCTGTCACTTGACGGCATATTGAGGGTTCTAGCTCCATCTTGCTGAATCCGAAATAGGATCCCTTCATAAAACGGCATTTGTGGGGACCTCTGTGATGTCCAACAAATGGGATGTATGCATATGCAGTTCCAAGTGAATCCTTGCTTACAGTGCGGGAATCTTTCCCGTTTCAAGGTCTTGATTGAATGGTGAAGGACAACGGGACTTTCTCTCCACCCGACGGTTAGTGGAATGGCTCTTTTTCATACTCTCTTCCTCCAAGGGCCGCCGCCCAAAGCTCCGGGCAGCAGGCTGTCCAATCAAAAAAATACCAGTCCGAGAAGTTGCTTTCCTTAGCACCCCAGCGGCCTCGACGAGAAACACTCTAGAGCCGGGGTTTGAAGCGCCATCAGCATGGGGATTTCACCTCCCAAAAATGATTCCCGCGCCGCACAAGCCAGGGGTCAAGGCGGCAGTCAAGACAATTTCAAATGCATATGTTTGAGCAAGCCCCATATGACGTTGAACGTGCCGTTGTGCCACTTGGAATCCACTAATGCAGCGATGGGAACGCCTCACACAAGCATCTATGAACCATGCTATCCCGGCAGATAAGCGGCTCCTGCATCAGTATCTTTTTTCTTAATTTTCTCCTCAAGCAATGTCTCCATTAGCTATTCAATCATGTCCTTTAATTGAATCCCTACGAAAGTCCCCGTCAGCAGAGCCATGAAAGCAGGACAAGAAAAATAACGTTGTCTCGCTACGCAAACCTCAGACTGGGCCAGGCCTGAGTCTGTCACATAGCAGCAAGGCCCAGAGTTCAAGCAAACTGTCGAAGCCTCCAGAGACTTGGTATCCCCGGGAACTAAAGACGGTTGTCAAAGATCTGGCATAGCTCTTTCTATCTATCGAAACCTTACAACAGATAAAATATATAGGGAAACTCAACATACCAACAATAATCCGCGTGATCACAACACTGGCGTTTGCTTCGATGATAAGGGAGAAGAAAAGAGAGTGCATTTTCCGGTTAAGAGAGAATCGGTTGGCGGGAGGAAATCGCGTACGTTTGAGCATACAGGAGGAGGAAACCCACTGGATCCTTGAGCAATGGAGGGAAAGTGGAGTGGACAATGTTGAATCGTTGCGTTAGCTCATTTTAAATAAAATCCACCCTGTTCGTTCAGTAATTGAGTTGGTGGAACCATCTATCTTCCAGGAGTTGGTCGGCGGTCTGATTAAAGAGGAAATCCGAGTTCTTAAGTAGTCGTATTGTGGCTCTTGACCGGTGGTAAAGACAGGACGTATAGAAAAGGGGGGGGAAGGAGGAGGGGATATGCATATACTACTGAAGCCACTTCCCAGTGGCCGATGCGTGCAGCATCGTCTGTTATTTAAAAGCCCTTGCGCAACTCATTCAATGAGGCGCGGGTTTCCAAGAACACATCAGCCTCATTCAAGAGAAGTATGGAATTGAGATGTTCGGCTGCTTTGAATATATGCATAAGACTAGCCTCAAAATTTGCCAGCATCTGCACGACGTGTTGCATTTGCAAAGAGCGCGCCTTTAGCAGTGTTGGCTGCCCATTCGACTTTGTTAGCAGGGCATAAAACCACCCTCTCAGACCACTTTAAGCTCATTAATACCACCTCTAATACTTGACCGACGCGCATGTCATCCAATATTGGAGAAATGTGCAAGACAGAACAAATTAAACTGACAAAGGCTCATTTTCGTTTTCGTAACCAAAGCATACCATCTGCCGCGCGAGAAATAGTATCCCGCAAGATCACGCACTGTCTGTCTAAGAGTCATCACTCTTCGGTTCGCTTCCAGAATCAGATAAACTGGCCTGTACCCTGCCCTGCTTTGATCACTCATTCCTCCACCTTTTGCAACCGCATCGACGGGCGACTGCCTGTGCTCCAGAAGGAATGATTGAATTGCAGCCGGCTGAACACTCCTTCTGGTATCTTGAAGCAAATGCAGTCACAAGTTGTCCAATCATTTCAATGCCTTCTTTCAACTGAATAAAGATCACACTGAACAAATGGAAGATCATGCATTTGTCATCAAACTGAAACTTGACACATCTGTTGACACGGCCAGGTCGAATGAGTGTCCGATCTAGATGATCGGGGTGATTGGTTGTCATAATTAGCGCCCGACTCTTCTGCAATGCTACACCATCTATGACATTAAGAGGACCAGACAGGGATAGCGCTACCCAGGTTTGTCGCTCTTCGGAGGGCATGTCACAACGTCACCAGTAATTTCCATTTTGTTTACAATCCGTGTTGTGCCGACAGCATCAATGTCTTCCAAAGGAACGACGGAGCGTGAAGGAAGCTTGGCAAACAGACTGCGCAGGCGTTCATCGTCGAGAGATGAAAGATTGGGGTACATAAATATCCAGCCCAAACTGCCCTGCGAGGGCAAAGCTTAAACTGGATTTACCGGTTCCAGGAGGCCCATATGAAGCATTCCATTTCTCCAGGGAATAATGCCACATGCGGAATACCAGGCCATTGTCTTTTCATCAAAGAAAATTCGTAATATCATCCAATATGGTTTACTTTTCCTTTTCAACCATGATTACCGTGGAAATTGGTCTAGTTAATGTTCTTGGCCTTTGTCTTCTCCCTTTCCCCATTTTCATTTTCAAAGACAGAAAGTCTCTCCAGAGTTGCCTTCAAATACACTCTTCTGCAGTTATGAAAAAAGTTTCTTAGAACTTTCGAGGACCCGAAGAGGCAGGAAACAGAAATTTTCTTGACGCTGACCAGAACTGGGTTCTTTTTCCGTGCATCGAAACCGGAGTATATGATCTATATAGCGAAAGAAAAACGATCTGTTCCAAGGCGCACAAAGTGCAAAGATTTCTGCTTGTGTATGTTTGAGTAATCATTGCTCACCCAGTGCTAACGCTGACGAGGAGAGAGCGAGTTTTGTAGGCGAACGACTGAATCGATACTCAGCTGACAAGCATATCATATACTTCATCATAGTGGGAGACACGGACGGTTGAAGCTGTGGATGATCAGAAGGACAACTTTTCATGGGAATAGCCACTAACTGAAATATTTCTCCACCACATCCGTTAAATAACGGCAAGCATATTTAGCCAAGAAGACCAACACCTTCACAGAGATAGAAAATGCTGGTATGGCCGTTAAGCATTGCCCCGCTAGGATCTGCTGTGCGAAGGCGGAAGCACCAGTGATTCCGGGAAAAAAGAAGCCTAGAATGGAGGGTTTGATTGAGGGAACAGAAAACATTGCGTAGGAGCCAGTACTGTTGAATGTGTCAATTGTAAAACTGTGAAGTTGTGGGGAGAAATGCTATTTGTGTTGCCTTAAGATAAATATAATGAAAGCAGCAATATTTAGAGCTACTGATTCGGTGGCAAAAGAACCTCTTCAGGGATCTTGCCTTCATATATAATGACTGGAGAACCGCCTCCCCGCATTGCACTATGGTAACTACGGGATATGCACTGCAGTTCACCCGGATCCAGTAGGATTCGCAAATTACATCCTAATTCCAGATCGCTCAGGTATGTGCTGCGCAAGTTTCAGTGCATGAACAATTCGCCGTTGATAACCACCAACACTGAACGTGTCAAGTCTGAAAAGGTAGAGATTGTAGCAAGGTATTTATTTAACTAGTTGGTTGACCAGCTTCTGGAAAATCAACTTCAAGCCCCGTAGTTTAACTATTATTTGCCTTTTTATGGCAGCCAACCAAAACCGACAATCAATTGATTTTTGGGCCGGGAAAGATTTAGAATACCCCAGTCAGCGCGTTAGGCGCATGATGGTGTTGAATTCTGAGACACAGAAGTCTTTGAAGACATAATTAAATGTGGTGACGGAGGAAGAAACGGGTTGGACGAATGAGATGGTGAATAAAACCCCCAGCTTCATGCAATCCGTCTTCCACAAACTCAACGCGATTTCCATTGCTCCGGACGGGTAAGATGATCAACTAGAGAGGTGTGCCGCTTTTGTGAGACATGGCGCGCAGACGTAGCCGCCACATCAGGCATGCAAACAAACCCCTTTGGGTGCAAAGATGCAACAAGCGATCTACTGCCGAAAAATTTCCAGAAGATTTAACAAAGCCATGGGGTCTGTGACTCGGTTTAAATTTCAACCAAAACCTCGTAACCAGAATAGAGACACAATTAAACGACGGTACATTGTCTTCAGCCAAACCAGATCACTTCTATGACGCACGCCCTGAACAGCTCAATCATCAGATTCGTGAAGATCTTAGCCGCCATATTGCCCTGTGAACCCAGGATGATCTCCCGATCTCTAGTTGTGGCTATACGACAAGCGTGCTGCGATGGTGCACTGGGTGCTCGTGGCATGCATTTTTTACAATCCTGCTTGCAAGATGGACCGACCTTCAACAACAATGCTTACACTCTTACTTCAATATATGATGGCGTCAACTAAAGCTATTTACTAGTTACCCATATCAGCAAGTCTGATGATCCAGATAATCGCTCAGGATATATTATGACACAGCATAAGGGCTGGTCAATGATGAGTGATCTTGAAACGTTTCGACAAGGCCCGTCAGCATACCGAAAAGATCGCCGTTGGGCAAAGGAAAAAAGGGATTTTTGTTTTTATCAGAGTGGCGAATGAAAGGCTCTCTGAGGCTCACTCTCAACATTCGTCTACCTCCTGGCACCAAACAACTTCTGATCTAACACTCATCCTGGATGACTCTGATGAGTCAACCGAGCCTGATGAGTATCAGGATGCCCAATGGAGCTCTGCGGCTCCAATTGAACATGGAGAAGAAGAGCCTGGGGAAAATCCCATCTTGGGGTGCTGAAAATTCGCGCCCCTGAGTCCCCTTGGCACAGCCGGCGACGCGGCCAGCCAACCATCTGGCGATAAAACTCTTATGCTCCCAAACTGAAGCCAAATCGCATAGATACAGTTGATCAATCCTGCTTTCCGTATTTTTCTCATGGAAATTAGCGTGCTCACGGCGAAAAGCACTCCGTACATGATCGGCCAGCTGTTCCAGGTTGAGCTTGAATCCACTTTCACGCAGAACAGGCTCCTTCTGGAACAGCTGCTCAGGCAGAATTACTTCCAGCTTATGACCAGGCTTCTCTGGCAATCCTCTCCGTCCAGCGAGTCAGTGGTCCAGGGCAGGGGGAATCAGGGTCGTAGGTGATGGGGGTGGCGAGGGCAGGGCCAGACAGCCTGCTTGCCATCGCTGTTAAGGCTGCAGCGGAGAGCAAGCGGTGGTGCGCAGTGTGCAGGCGGGCATCCTCTTCTAGGTGTTTGTTCACCAGTTCATTTCTGTAAATATCTCAATATTAGACTATTATTCTTCATTTTTCTTTTGCAGCTTGCTAATGAACTGTGAGCCATAACTTCTCTAATGGTACTTTGCACTCCTGATGAGTTTATTGAGTGTAAAAATTTCCATATTGCAGAGGACTAATCTAACTGCTACTAAATCTATATCTATTTAATAACAGCTGGCTGGAGCTGCAACACTTATTGACGTGGTATTGCAGTTGCTAGAAGGCTGATATTCACACTATTTGTCACATGATTGATTGGTTGATAGTTATATCAGGCCAGTCGTAGTAAGTAGTGAGCACTCTTTAAAGCATGAAAAGTGAGCAAGGTTGAGTGAAGCATGCTCGTAATTATAATATAAATATTGTTTTCAAAATTTATATTATTTTTATATAAGTTTTTTATACTAAATTACTATTTATTAATTTTATATTAAGTAAAAGATTCAACATACAGTCATCCAAAATTCTCAACAAAGATAAATGAAGAGTGAGAAAGAAAAAAAAAAAAATTCTTATGAAAATCCCGTTGTAAAGTGTGGGTTTCCCATAACTGCTACATTAAGTGAGGTAGCTATGGCTGGCTATTTTACTTGAACATCTGCTATCATCATAACAGATTGCTGAAGCTTTTAAAGCCTGGCATTCAATCCGATAATGTATTAGTTAACGGACTAATGCTCTCTTTGCACAGGGTCGGCTCCATGTTCTTCCGCGCCGAACCCCCTCATCTCACGTGTTTTCTTTCTCCTTTCTCTTTCTTCTTCAAAGGTGACTTGTTGTATTTAGGAACTACTATAACGCTCCGAGTTGATAGTTGGCCCATTGCAAGGTCAATTTCAAGCTCCTAAGGTATCCATTTATACTTATTTAGGTACATATGTATCTCAGGACCTAGGTAGCTCTGTCAACAACATGACTTCTAGAATTTGAAATAATAGACCTTGAAGCAAACAGATATATATATATATATATATATATATATATATATAACTGTTTTGCGTGAACTCATATTACTTAGAGCCATTTTACAAAACTGGCTTTTATTTCCTTTTCTTAATTCTTTTAATTCAACTTGTTATGTACAAGCTATTTGATCGCTGATCGAGCTACAGCTTTAATTATTATTCTGCGACCTGACGTCCGTTGTTGCTTTTGATATGAGATCTAGAAAGCAAACAAATCGCGCGATCGATAAGATAGATCTCTGCAAACGGTCAAATCATTTTGCTTTGACATCAGCCTTAGAGTGTATGGTCACATCGATAACAAAAATCTCTGGATCATTCGCAAGGCATACCTCAGCGCTCCCACTCTTTTCAAACAACCTTGCCTACCCATTCCGTTACAATACCCCATATAGTTTATATACAAAGTTGTTACCTCGACATGCCTCATTTGGGTTGTCATCAGTGTTAGCCAATCAAAACAATCGAATTATTTCTAAAAACATCAAAGGGATCGTCGCAGTCTGACTCCGAAGGTTTCCATGGGTTTGGTTCCCCGACAAGCCTCCCGCAGCCACAAACCCGCCCTCCCTAGCCCTCACACTGGGCCAAAATGAATAAGGGAAGTTAGAACCTTACGGAGAAATTTTCAACATTTAAACTCTCTGGTTCTCATGATTATTGTGGGCCAGAACCAAAAAACACAACGACTCTCATTGGCTTCCCACAGACAGACCCGATGGCAAAAAAAGATTGAGCAAAGCATGGGTAATTAGCGAAGTTTTCCCGATGTTTTCTGGAGAGAACAAGTTACCCACGAAACGACCAACTGCCGAAAAAATGCCGATGGAATGAAACTTTAATGCCTTTGTCTCAAAATGCCCCTCCACAGCAGCCAGAAGAACTGTACATAAAATTGGACTGACAAGTTTACGTTGGTCGATATATTGGTCCTGTGTGGGGAAGGGTATGATGAACTCATTTAAGAGTCGTTAACTAATAATAGGTAGCCTTCGATGAAGTTGGCGGATGTCTTGACACATACCTAGGTACTTTACAGAGACGCATATTCTAGGCCCATAGAATGACAGTAGAATTTCCTATTACGTTCGTTAGGTTAGGGAAACACACCTGCCCAATTCGAGATGTGTATAGCTGGATCTGAGAAACGTGCCTGGACATAGTTAACGCGTCAAAAGGTCGATCATGGAACCGATATTTACCAGATACAGCACCTCCACAGAACAAGCTTCTAAAAGTCACTTCTCCTATGACGCACTCCCCGGGAAATTGGATCTCCGCCTGCAGTCGTCATGTCAAGTTGGTGCTTGGTGGTTTTCAAAACAAAAAAGGAGG